GTTTGATTTTTTAGGTGAGAAAACTGGTGAAGTGTTCTTGTATTTTTTCCCTTATTTTCTTTTGATTTTTTCTCCTCAATAATTGGATAGCTTTGATGTATTCATATTTAGTTATCTCTCAAATAGTGTACCAAGAAAACTAAACAAAAATTAGTTTGTACCTCCCTGTTTTTGTTGTCATTAATATTTGTTTTTTATTGTGAAAACTTCAAGCATTTACTATATAAAAACCAGAATAAAAGCACGCACATTTTAGCTAGATGCTATCCAGTTTTTTCAAAGTTTTCAACCGATTTTTATCCACCACATATGGTGAGAAAATCACAGATTTTTATCCAGTATTACATCCTGAAAAACTGTGAAAACAATTTGGGTTTTTTTCCTGTTTTCCCACAGTTTTCTGCCCTAAAAAACTTGACTGTGCATCCAGTGTGTTGTTGGTGGTATGCCTCGAAAACGGTGTAAATAACCGAATTGCATATGTGGCTGTGCATGGAACCTGCCCTAAACATCGCTACGACCACCCCGCCGCGCAGTTCTTTGACGAGGCACGGATCCACCAATGATATCCTTTCCATTCTCAAAACGCACTTTTTACTAGAGAGAACCCTAGATTCCAGAACGTAACGCGTAACTGCGCTTACTCGTGCTTCAGAAATGCTGCTGGCAGGTAAGACTCCCTCGGGGTGACTTGAAGATAGTATCCGGCGACGGCGTTTACTAGTATGCCTCACATTATGACCAATAATACTGAAGATTATCTTCACTCAGCGACAAACACCGATACGTGCTGGGGATGAGGCACACCTAAAGGTACCGTAACGTATTCGTTTGAAACGTGCTGTAGTCCCCGCCATTAAATGTATATCGTTAGGGTCCGTAATCATGCCGAACGGTCGATAAGCGGTTCTTCGGGCTTGGTCTTGTGAAGTGACTTTTTGCTGAGAACCATGAGGTACGCTCACCAAGAAGCTTCTACGTCCAATGGTGAGAACATCAATGGTTGAAATTGCTTTTCTTTCACAACGTCTGAGTGCATACTTCACCCGTTCCCTCTTTCGAGATCAACCATGACTACCTTGTAGTGACATAACCGTGACGAAGGGTTTGGACAGAGTGCACAACCGTGGGGCTTTACCAATGACGGTCATAGGAAGTATGCAAAACCGATGATAAGCAAGCGATGCCCCGCACCAGTCACAGCCTGAGGCCAACGGTGTTTTGCGCCGAACATTCATTCGTGCATGCTGATTTCCGCTTAGCCAACAGAGACCACGTGCAGCAAACAATCTTAGTCGCTCGCTTTTGAATCATTAACTGACACGATCGTTTAGAGAACCTCAACAGTTGGTCATATCCTGCCTAGCTTCTATCGCATCAAGGGTCTGGCTAGAACTGCATCAGGCAAGTCCTTCTGTCATTTAATTGTTTTATGTCATTGACTAGGCTCTACGTCAAGTGGCCTGCGCGTAACAACCCATGACGTGGATCGTGTATGCTGGCTACTCATCACAGTCGATATGCATGAATTTGCCTTGCTTCTATCACACTCGATAATCCACACTGGTTTATATGCGTGTGGATATTGCAGGCACACCGATCATTGCAAACGTGTGGTATGCCAGTTGTATGTCCCTCATTCATTCATCACGCAAGGATTTACGGTTCAAGATGGAGCCGCAAATGAGACGCGGAGGATCGGCCCTATAGCGATCCCGTTGCTCACTGCATGCTTATAACGTCTGAATCACTTTAGACTGATGCAAGATAGCAAGTGTAATGGTACACGTATAAGCTTAGGTCAAGCATTACGGGAGAAGAAGAACTCAGTGGTGAGTTGAACCGTTGCGTGAATGTGATCGCCTGTGGATGATGTCCTCGATATAGTGCATGCGCCATCTAGCAGACGTATTTTGAGCGTCCATCTCAACAGGTACCTGGATCTACCGACCACTTGGCTCTGGCTTTGTGTTCAATTCATCCTCTTTCCGTCACAGATCTCTCTCACGGAATTGTTGTCTGGAGATAACACGAATGAAGCCGAATGCTTCTTTTGCTGATCAAGTGACGACTTTGACTTAGCGATGCCCCTTTCTTTTGTCAAATAAAAGCAGATCATTGGTTTGTCGTACCTCTGCAACGCTCCTTCTATGCATTCAGTCGTCTCGCTCTCTGCTGCAGTCGTAGCGACACTTGTGATTGTCACCCTTCGAGCACGACGAAAGTCGCGCGAGGCGGGTTTCCCGCAGGGACCGGCGCCTCTTCCGGTCATCGGGAATGCACTTGAAATCGACGCCTCGCGCCCCTGGTTAACCTTTACCAAATGGCAGGCTACCTATGGTACGCCCTATCTCCTTCGTACGGAGTGTTGAGGTGTATTCTTTTTGTACAGGTGATCTTGTATATTGTAACGTGTTCGGGCAGGACGTGGTAGTGGTTAACTCCGAGAAAGTCGCGGAAGACTTGATGGACAAGCGGTCTCGCAACTACTCTGGTCGGATGGACATGTCTAGCATTCTAGATCCGTGAGTTCTCACATGTTCTTCATGGTCACACGTTGGTTGTTATCTGGCCTGTTTGCGTCTTTTGAGGTATGGTATGCTCTGGAACACTGCACTCATCGCAAACGACGACACTTGGAGAGGCCATCGGCGAGTTCTACAGCAAACATTGTACCCGGAAGCTGTGCTTGCGTACCAGCCAGTCCAGGTTCGCTGTACAGCAGACCTCCTTCGCTACCTCGAAACCACGCCTCAGTCATTCTGGCACCACTTTCGAATGTTCGTGCGTATTTCTATTGGCCGTCAGATAATATCCTATCTCTTCGCTTAGATTCTCTGGTGCCATCATCCTGGGTGCCGTCTTCGATCATGAGATCGACGGAGACCCAGAAAACGACGCCATGCTTCAAACCGTGGTAAAAGGAACTGACTACGCTGTTCGGATCGCGTCTCCAGATTGGATTGCACTCACGACTATCTTGCCGTTCTGTGAGTACGCTAGCGCTAGCTAATCTCCACATAGTTGTTTTGGCTGACGTGCTCAATCCGTGATGTCATGTCCCTTGTCAGGCAAATACATTCCAACATGGTTGCCTGGGGGCGCTCTCAATGCGCCAAATGGCAAGCGGATCATGAACGAAATGCTTGACATACCATTTGACATTACCGAGAAGAGGGTGGTACGTATAGTCTTCGCGGCTCTATTGGCCATTAGAACATTGTTAACTTCTTTCAGGACGCGGGAGAAATAGGCCACTGCGTGGTACTTGACGCTTTTGAGAGATTCAGAGGTACAACCAAGGTCTCAGACTTCGAGAACATTATGAAGCACGCTTGTGGAACAGCTTACGCCGGTATGATTCCTTCTTGTTCAAATAGATAAATCCCGCGCTAACCTCAACTCAACAGCTGGAGAAGAAACGGTTGGTCACGATCAGTTACTACAAGCTTTGATTGATAATTTGATGAAGCTCCTTCATTGCTGGTAGACAGGCTCAAGCCTGATCGTTTTCACGCTGGCTATGGTCCTACATCCACATGTTCAGAAACGTGCTCAGGAGGAGATCGAATCCGTTGTAGGGTCGGACCGTCTTCCCGACTTCAATGACAGACCGTCTTTACCTTATGTCGAGGCCATATTTCGTGAAACGGCCAGGTGGAGGCCTATTGTACCCTTAGGTGAGGGCTTTGTCGTATACCGCTCAGCTCTCTGGTAGTGTAGCTCATGGTACCTCTAGCTATACCTCATTCAGCGACAGACGAAGACATGTATGATGGATACGTTATACCCAAAGGTAAGAAATGCGCCCCCCTGCATCAATCCCTATTCACTCTGTTTACCAGGAGCGGTTATTGTACCCAACGTATGGTGCGTTCCCGAGTTGCTAAACGTGTGTGTCAGCTGATACAATCCACTTTTCAGGGCCATGTCTCGCAATGAAGAGAAGTACCCTTTCCCAGAGACTTTCAACCCCGAGCGTTTCCTCGATGCAAATGGCAATCTCGCCGAAGAGATGCCCAACTTCGTATTTGGGTTTGGACGTCGTATCTGCCCCGGGCGTCACTTGGCAAAAAACTCGGTATGGATCGCAATGGCTCAAATTCTAGCGTTTTTTTCGATCGAGAAGGCAAAGGATGCCTTTGGCCAGCCTGTTGAGCCAAATCCTCAGTGGACTCAGGGCGTAACTTCGTAAGGACCTTTTGTCTCATGCGACTTACATCTATATCTCAGTGTTCTTTCTACAGGTATCCCAAAGATTTCCCGTGCGCTTTTGTCTCTAGGAGAGCATAAATGTACAAGATACTTGGAGCGCACCTCGCGGCCTCGTAACAGTAGTATAGCCCAACGATGATTGTATAAATAGAATTGAGGAGACGGAAAAGGGGTGTTTGCACACCAGATCCAATGATCAGCCAACGAACTATTCTCAGCGTACACCCAGTAATTGCGCTTCGCGTAAGTCAGCCATTTCCACCATCGAACCACGATATGAACGCCATAGTGATGTATAGTCCAAAAAAAACGGCACAGCATGATGATGGTGTTTTACTCACCTCAGTCCGAATCAGGGGGTAACAGATGCGTGCGGCCCAACGGCTGAAGAGGGTGTCACTGAGGGTGCTTGAGGAAGAGTGAGTAGATGCGTTTGTTGTTTTGCTTTGTGATTGGGTATAGAGGAGGCTCGATTCGGGCCGTGCAGTGTGGGCTTAAAGTTGCTGAGCGCTGAGCTGTACATGGTATTCAGTGCGTTTTTTTACATCAATGCGACTCATTATCTGCCTACCATGAATCAACATGCAGTAACGCTCAACGGCACCTTATTCATTCTTTACCTGCCGCCGCTTCCCACGGAAGGACATGGAACTCCCGAACGTCTAGGAACGTGTTTCAAGATTTCCCTTAGCCATCGGCATACGATTGTAGAGTCATCTCCAATCACAGTACTTGCGGCTCCGATCTCAAAGCTGCAAGCTTAACCAATCGTAAGTTGTCTCACTGAGTAACCCTGTGGCTATGCATGTAGGCGCTTCACACAGATTGAAACGCAGCATCTCGACAGAGCGACATCTACGCGCGACGCGACCACGACCAACATTTGAATCCGTCGACTCCGAGTCCCTTCCTCTACATGACAGCCGGGAGCTCGGAGCCGCAACACCCTAGCATCGGACCCGGCGATATCATGACTGCTTCACCGCCAACTGAGGCGTATGTGCTTCTTCAGAGGCATGTTTTGCATAGTATAAAGCCCAGTCGTCTGCAGCGATGTTCAGACATCAACACCAACTCGAGCGTACACTCCCTGGCTTCATTTTCAGTCTCAACGCTGTTGTCAGCATGCCATTAATATCAAGCCTTCTCCGCGAACCCACCGTCACCACCGCAGCCATCGCGGCGTTCGTGACCTTTGCGCTTCTCCTGCTTCGTCGGGCGCGCGCCTCTACCACCAGCGGAGGCTCTCTGCGCCAGTGCACGCTTCCTGGCCCCAAACCGTGGCCGCTCGTCGGCAACGTGCGCGGGATGGACGTGAGCGCGCCATGGAAGAGCTACAAGCGATGGAGCGAGACGTACGGTGCGCATGCCTTCTTGCCACCTTTTATTTCATGTGGCTAAACATGTATGGACTGGTGGCAGGCCCGATTTTCCGCACGCGGCTCGTCGGATTTGATATCGTCGTCATCAGCGACGAGCGTATCGCGCGCGAGCTTCTTGACCGCCGCTCGGGCAAGTACTCGTCCAGGATGTGGTTTCCCACCGCCGAGCCGTGCGTCCTCCTTCCTTCCTTCCTTCCTTCCCTTCTTTTGTGCCTTTGGCTGACCTCGATTGTGACCTGGGTTGCTTGTAGATACGGCTTTGGGCGGTACACCACCCTGCTTGAGTACACCGACACGTGGCGGCACCACCGCCGCGTCATGCACCAGCACCTCCGCATCGACGCGGTGCGCAACTACCGGCCCATGCAGCTCCGCAAGGTGCGCCAGCTGCTCGAGAACATGCTCGCGAGCCCCGACGACTACAGAGAACATTTCCAAACGTGCGTCATGCTCTGAGGGTGCGTACGGGACACGTGCTGATGCGACGGACTCGGACAGGTTCGCAGCATCGATCATCATGGCCGCCGTGTATGGCTACCAGGCGCGCGCAGTCAAGGACCCGCTCGTGGAGAAGGTGAACCACTCGCTCGAGGTTACTGTCCGCGTCAGCTCGCCCGAGCTCGCGATTCTCATTGGAGTCTTCCCTTTCAGTGAGTCGTGCATGGTTTCTCCGTCGCGGTGCCTCGTTAGCTGACAATCCTCCTTTCCCAACTCCACAGTCAAATACATCCCCACCTGGTTCCTGGGTGGAAGCCTGAACGCCGCATCATGCAGGCGAGGCAATGACGAACATGTTTCAGAGCCGTTCAAGTATCTCGAGGAGACCATTGTGCGTACAATTTAAGCTCTGGCTACTTCATGACTTCGCCTTTGTTGAATTTATATACTTAGGAACCCGATTCCTCGATACCGAGCATGGCATACGAGGGCCTGCGCAATGCGAAGAAGGCTCAGGACAGCAATACTCAGATCGCACTCCTCCAGAATATTTGTGGCACGGCATTTGGCGGTAAGCATTTGCTGGAGTCGTATCCCTGGGTGTGCCAGTCTAACAGTGACACCATCATTGTCTCCCTCTAGCCGGCGCAGAGACAGTAAGCACACTACGCTTCTCCGCACTCTAACCAGTCCACTAAACAAAGCCCTGATGTACAGACGGCTTCCTCTCTTATAGACTTCGTCCTGGCCATGGTGCTCTACCCGGACGTGCAGGAGCGCGCGTACGCGGAGATAACCCGCGTGTGCGGCACGGACCGTCTGCCTACATTCGAGGACCGACCTGAGCTTCCATTCATTGACGCCGTCGTCCGCGAGACGCAGCGGTGGGCGCCGGTCGTTCCAATGGGTAAGTACATCTACCTATAGCTATCAGCAAAAGTAAGCTGACTGAACCATCGTTGAAGGTATCCCTCACTTGACCACTGAAGACGACATATACGAGGGCGAGTTCATCCCCAAAGGTCAGTGAACAGTGCCGATTGTTATTCGACCCTACTCACGCCAGATCTCCCAATGCAGGTACAGCAGTCGTAGTCAACATCTGGTAAGCACCTCCTTCCCTCCCTCCCCTTTCAGCCCCACCAAGCTCCGACTCACCCGAACCTCCCAGGGCCATTTGCAACGACCCCGCCCGCTTCCCCGCCCCCTCCGACTTCCGCCCCGAGCGCTTCCTCTCTCACGACGGCAGCTCGCTGGCAGACGACCCAGACCTCAACGTGGACCTCGTCTTCGGCTTCGGACGGCGCATATGCCCCGGCAAGCACCTCGCCGAGGCATCGCTGTGGCCCGCGTTTGCGGCGATGCTCGCTGTGTTCCGGTTCGAGAAGGCGGGCGCGTTCGAGCCGGAGTGGTCGAGCGGGTCTACGTCGTGAGTTTGATCACCTCAATGCGATACCGCGCAAGTGCCTCATGCGCTTATTGATTAATTTATGTTCAGGTGTCCGCGCCCGTTCCCGTGTAGGATCGTTCCGAGGGATCCGAGGATGGATGCGAGCCGGTTGGCGGAGATGTAGAGAGCGTTTATTTTTACGACCTTCACAACTTGAACGTTCTCGAGTGCTACGAGCATTGACGATACATTCACAAGGTATTAGCTTCCTTTTCATTAGAAGGTGGGTAATTACAATAAATGGGCGGTAATGGATATTTTATAGAGTGTTTGCGACAATTCAGCTCACAGCACTGTGGAAGATATGCTTAGATGCCACTCCAGTGCTCCAGTGGAACGCACGTATGGCTTAACTTACTATCTAGCAATCATGTTCAACAACACTCACTCTTATTTCCACTAAGGCAACCACCTGAACTACTATCTGTTTTGACTCAAACCATGCCTCCTGGGCCGCAAGCGCGACTCGGCGCAAAGGGTCCCGGGACTGTTCCTTTGTCTTTCTTGAGGCTCACACGATACCCGTGCAGGCATGTCGTCAACACGCCGTAGCTCCAGTGAGTCGTACCACAGCCGTGTCTAAGCCGCCGATGCATGAGCTATGACTACTCGCCCCGGCTGGACTGTGGCTGCTCCGATTTGATCCCACTGCCGTCCAACAAATACTATACAACGTAATGAAGAGACGTAATAATCAACTTGAACATGGGCATGAGGCTCACCAATCACCGACGATCTCCAAAATCAGCACTGGAAGCCCGCGAGATATATAAAAAATACGCCACACTCAACACCTCGCGCATCTCTTCTTCCTTACAATGTCCCTCGTTTACTCTACTGGCGCCTTGATGCTTGCAGCAGCGGCAGTCTGGAAGGCAACGGAGACTCGCCGAGAACGTGACGGTAAAACGTTTCCACCCGGTCCATCGTCTCTGCCTCTCCTCGGTGTCGCCCACAAACTAGACGTGTCTACACCGTGGACAACGTTCACCGAGTGGAAGGTCGAGTATGGTGTGTTGTTGCTCGCCTTTTCTCTCTCATTACGTGAATGACAACAATTTTTTCCGAAGGCGATATTATCTACTTTAGGCAGTTCGGCCAAGACGTCGTCGTGCTGAACTCCGAAGACGCCGTCAAAGACTTGATGGAGAGAAGGTCGAGCAATTACTCGGACAGGATGTACATGTCAACCAGAGAACCGTACGTTTACCTCCCTCCTAGGCACTGAAACAAATCCAATTTCCTTTCAGCTACGGTATGGACTTCGACAACATCTTTCACCGCCACGACGAAACGTGGCGAGCCCACAGACGCGTCGCCCACCAGGGTCTTCGCGAGCGCCACGTGGATATCTATCAGCCAACGCAGCTTCGCTTTACTGAGGCACTTATCAAGAGCTTAGAAAGCTCACCCGAACGCTACAATAGCCACTTCCAGAGGTAAGATTGATACTGCTCATGTACCTTCCGACGGGTAGAATCTCATGGCGTTCAGGTTTGCTGCCTCTGTTGTTCTTTCAGCTATATATGACCACGACGTGATTGATGAGAACGATCCAATTCTCAAGTCAGTGGTCGAGACAATAGACATTTTGGTACTATTGCAGATGCCTGTGAACGCCATCCTCTTCAACGTTTTCCCGTTTCGTAAGTATATTCTTCCGAGGCATACAAATGTTTCTTACAAGCAGCTCTATAGTGAAGTATACTCCTACTTGGCTCCCAGGTGGCTGGCGTAACGTCACTGAAGCCCGAGTGAAGATAGAACGAACCGTAAACCTGCCATTTGAGTATCTAGAAAAGAAGATGGTGCCTGAATAATCTTTTCTATACGATGATAGTACGAAGTACTGCTGACGTTGATTTTAGGCAGCAGGCAGCGCGGGGAACTCGATTGCCTTGGAGGCAATGGAAAGATTCAGAGACACTAACAAGGTTGACAACTTCGAGAAAGTCGTCAAGGATGCCTGTTGTAGCCTTTACGGAGGTAAGCAAACCTACTTATCTGGGCCTACGGTCTCGGTTGACTTGGGCGCCTCCTTAGCTGCATCAGAGACGGTTTGTGCTCTCCTTAACAAGATCGACATCCGCGATAACTTACGTGGCTTTTCAACAGACATCTTCTACGCTCATGGTCTTCCTCCTTGCCATGGTACAGAATCCTGACGTTCAGAAACGCGCGCAGGAGGAGATAGACAGCATTCTAGGGTCCGGCCGTCTGCCACAGTTTTCTGACCGGCAATCTCTTCCCTACATCGAGGCGGTCTGCCGAGAAACGTTGAGATGGCGTCCCGTGGCTCCGTTGGGTCAGTGACGGACCTCAGAATGCATCTGACTGGGCTGATCACTTGCCTTCATAGGTATCCCTCACTCGGCAACCAACGACGATGTCTACAAAGGCTGGTATATCCCGAAAGGTGCGTGTTCTATTTTTTGGACTGCTGGTCGAGCAACCATTTGATATGATCACGGAATTAGATACGGTGGTGATAGCAAATGTTTGGTAAGGATTATCTGTGAATATGCTGTGAGCGATCATTGATTCTACGTATAACTCTAGGGCAATCTCACAGAACCCCGAGAAATACCCCTCGCCTTCCTCTTTCAAACCTGAGAGGTTCCTCGACGGCACAGGCGGGCTGACCAACGATGTGCCCACGTATGCTTTCGGCTTTGGGCGGCGCATTTGTCCCGGACGCCACTTCGCTACCAACTCGTTGTGGATTGCAGTTGCTCGACTTTTGGCTGGTTTCACGTTCGAATCTGAGTATGTGCAAGCGGGCGGGACAGTGAAGTGGCACAACGCTGTGACATCGTGAGTACTTTCTTTGACTGCTAGCTTGCACGGAGAGCTTATCACCACTGGATGTTAGCGTGCCGGAGCCCTTCCCTTGTCGGATCATACCTCGAAAGAGCCACTAGACTCATACACGCAAGCTGTATCCACATACTTTGTTGAACCAACTATCGTGCGAGTTCCGTTTCTGCAATCTGAAGTGGATAAATTTCGTGGCACGGAAATCATGACGCGAGCAGCTTACAGTATAAGTGCTTGCACTTCCCATTGTATTCACTGAGGCATGTATATCACACCATGAGTCGTAGCTGAGAATGATTCGGAGTCCTTTTGCATGTCAATGCGATATGGAAGGTCAGAGGTAGGAATTTCTTCATGGCCCCACATATCCACTAGTCACTTATAGCGAAATCAACTGGGATGAGAGCGAACGACGACAGACAATGATCAAGAATACAAGGCAGCCTCGCTGCGCTACGGCCCTTAAGGATCTTGTCCTACCATGGTGCTCGTTGAGAATCACCATCCCATTGTACTGGAAAGGAAAACTCGAACACGAGTAGACAGTGCCCGTGGATATCTGTCGTGCAGTCCAGAGGCCCTACATCCGTATACAAATCCCGAGCCTGACGCGAGATATGCCACAGCCACAGAGCCAAACATGTACAATGCCATAATTTTGAATATACGAGTAATTACTCAAACAGCCCAGGGTAGCTAACGCTAGGATGAGCGAAGTTCTTAATGATCCGAGCCGCTCAGTTCATGCTCCAATCAGTGCGCAAGCAAATACCATTGAAAGTTTTGGATACGGGCGATCCTAAGCGTCATAAATGACAAGGTAGGATGGGCGAATGGCATCGTTATGGTAGAGAACGAGTTCATCGTAGTTCAACGTTCCTCCCGGTGCGACCTCCGCCAACACCTACATTAATATCGTTAGGTATGCAGCATCTCTCGCAGAAAGGTAACAATGGGACTTACCGAATCATATCCCGATGGCGGCTTCTGTAACGTATCCTGGTCTTTAGTGACCTTGAACCCATTCCCTACAATCACCTTGTTCAAAAGCAGTGTTTTGTACTGTGAGGTCTGCTTGTTCTGGCTGTAATCGTTCGCTCTGAAAACAAGCAGATGAGTCATACATCAGGGATCTTGTGCCATAAGACCGACCAACTCACTTGGATGATGTTGCTGTGGTGTAGATGCCTTTGCCAAATCTTGAGGTCCCAGCCATGAACGCGAAGGCTTGACACAATCATAAGAATTACTCACCTTCCCCACGTCATATTTGTGCCGAAAAGTTCGATTTTGAAGGAGCGTCGGATAATTTGACAAAGACGACATTTAGTGGACGTGCACGTCTTAGTTCTCCCTTCATCGCCCAGAAGACACTCGCGAAATGTCCCGTGCCATCGACGTTGTTCGTTACCGAGACTTTTACCAGCAGATAAAAAGTTTCCACGCGCCTCAACACCGGCACTAGGGGTGGTTAGCCAGGAAATCCGAGATATAAGTAAGAGAGACACACCTGTAAGTCTCATACTGACGCAGAAGGTTCCGAGGTATGATGACCTTGAGGACCCAGCGTACGGTGGGGCACTTTGTAGGATGCTTCCAACTAGCCGTAAACTGGTCTATCACTACGTAGCCTGTAAGAACGACCGTGTTATCTATTAGCACGCGATGCGTACCACTCTGAAAGGTAGCATTCTCTTGTGGCACGTCGAGTAAGAGAGGTGCTGAGTCTACCGCACTTTGTACACAATCGTTGCTGCAAAAGTGTCCGCCCTCGCGCACGGAATCTCCGCATATCAGGCAACGGTCCTCAGAAGGATTCCTTGAAGCACCATATGAGAAAGTCATCAAAAGCGATGAGAAAAACATACTCTTCACCACTTGCCAACCTTGCGCATGTCATTGAACAACAAGAGTGAAGTGTATTTCCATCAAAGTAACGAGGCATTTGACCACAATACTAGCAGCAATATGTCAGAATTAAGATTAAGACAGATGGAGAGGAGCAGACATCACAAAGCTCAATGCGCCCCGCGGAATTGCTCTTGTTTGCAGCAGCAGCGCAGCTTTTGCCGCAGTAGGGGTGCAAAGTACTACCGTCGAAATACCGTGGCCGGCGCCCGCAAGTCTAATAGTATTGGTAATCAAATGCAAGTTAGTCTCACACCGGAGACAGAGTTCGTACCTGGCACATGCGAGACCCGACCCGCGCGGACGGCCCAACTATGCCACTGTTCTTGGCAAAGTTGGCGCAGCTGCGTCCACAGTAAGGGTGAACAGTAACTCCATCCGAGTGCTTCGGGCGAGCATGACAAGCCTGAAGTACGAGTGAGTCGTTAATCACGAATGCAGATCCAATTCATCGACCTCGCAAAGCCCATCGTGAACGCTGCTTTCGTTAGATACCGAATCTCGAATGTGTCTAGCATACGTTGCGCAGCTCTTGCTGCAGTAGGGGTGGACTTTGTGGCCGTCCGAATACTGGGGACGCTTTCCGCATGCCTGCATAGTACTTAGTGCTAGGAAACGTGGAGAAACCAAAATAGTACTTGCCTCGCAGTAACCCGGTTTACGGACTAATGACATTAGAGGACAGTGATGTAGTGTGTAAGGGGGAAGGGTTAAAGATGATCGAGATGGTCAGGATGGTCAGGATGGTCAGGATGAGAGCACGAGTTTTATATCTCACGCCGCGACCAAATTTACTTTTGGCGCTTGTAAACGCTAGTATCCCCACCACGAGGAAAAGAAGTTCGGTGAAGACGTGTTTGATGTGACCACCGCGTGCAGCAAGCTCGCTCCAAATTGAGCCACAACCTAGAGCCAAGTTCCCGCGTTGGAAAAGCTGATGCTGTTTAGGGCAAGCGTAAACTGCAACACAGGTTCCCAAAAAAAAAAACGGCGACTTAGCTCCTATCAATGACATCTGGGGTGGATTGATGAAAGGCGAATGGAAGCGGAACGTGCACACCATACTCACACAATGCTTGAAATATGGCCAAAAGCCTGCTTTTTCCGGGATTTAGTTCCCAATCACCAGCGCTTCAAGCTTACGGCAAACCATGCCTCGTTTCCCTCCTAATGTCATGTGTATTGGGGCATCAGAAGCTTTTGAGCGTCAAAAATGATCTGGAAGGTTTCATGAAGAGCCATTGAAGTGATAATACTTGCATATCAACTGCTGCCGTTACGAGCGTTTACGGGATCAGTGTCAAGAATTGGCATACGACGGGAAGAAAGGCCGGGTGAAATTGAGTAGCTTCAATTAGTATTAGGATACAGTCAAACTGATGAAGACGTCCGCGAAGAGGGTACTATTTATCACGTCAAACCAATGCAATGTTCGAGTCCGAGAGCAACATACCGTGTCTACACATAAACCCTCTTCAACCAAGCAGAGGTCCACTCTCACTACCTATTACATCATCGCATCTATCACCACCCTTCCGCTTGAGCATGTTTGTCGCCGGCTCTACCAGCGCCCGCAGCACACCGATAACCTTTCCCACAAGTCAAGCCCTCACGCGCCAGATCGCATGGTCCCGCACGTCGACTCTGTCAAGCCGAACGCGGTGTTCTTTGTCCACGACGACCCGTAGTGCGAGCACAGTCGCGACTATTGATGCGAGCGCCATCGACGCCGAGAGCATGAACATGATGATGATCTGCAGTTTTGCGGCTTGCTCGACGAACGAGCCACCGAGAATCGCGCCGGTCATCATGCCAGGTATCGAAATGAGACCGATGACACTGGGAAAGTATTGACATGAGTTAGTGCATGCGCGTGATATGGCCAGCGGCGAGTGCGCACCTCATCTGGTTCATGGTTGGTGTGAGGGCTAGACGCAGAGCCTCCTGGGCGAGAGGTGTACATCATAGCGAGAGGCCCCAAAGGCGAGGCAAGTTTCAATCTTGTCTCTGTTCTCGCTAGTGGGGTATTATCAGATGACTGAAACCCGCCCAGTAACCAAACTAGTGCTGTCTGGAAAACCTCATGAAGAGCCATTGAAGCGATAACACGTGCATAAAAACCACTCTTGCAGTTACGAACGTTCGTCGAGATACGGCGAGAAGGTTGCAACTTGCGATCGAAGGAAAAGGAGACGGGCTTGACTGACGACGATGATGCGGTTAGGTTAGGGTTCGGCCACGCACACGTGTGTAATGATGCCAGGCTTGCCTCTTCTGTTATCTCGCTCAAGCTTTCGCTGACTCGTCCTCTTTCGTCTTCGCGTCTTGTCTCAGACATCTTTCTTGACTCTTTCCTGCTTTCATCTATCTAACTTATTCCCGCCGACGCGACGCTCGTCTCCTTTGAACACTCGCAAATCGTTTGCTATCCAACCCACGTCTGTGCCTCGATCCGTATCGGTACCGAAGCACAAACGTCATCCGGACGAAGCGGTCAACAGAAGGAGTCCTTTTGTCTCCTTCGCGATCGCAGAGTCTTCCCTAACTGCGCATGAGCTTGCTCCATGTCTACTTCAACCTACGCAGACAGCAGGCCTTCCAGCGTTTGCTGGAAGGGCCTGCTAACAAGGCCAACAAGTCCTCCGGAGCCCCCGGTACGAGCGCCGGCAAGTCTAAATCGTGGACGAAGAAGAACACACTAAACCTCGTTCCGGTTGACGTCAATTGCAAAGATCAACAAGGGCGCACCGTGTTGCATCTGGCGTGCTCAGCTGTGGAGCCGTCCAGTATAGAGTACATTCGACTCTTGCTCGCTCAGCCGGGTATCAACATCAACATCATGGACTCGGAAAATCACTGGACACCGCTCCATAGGGCACTATATGGGGGACACATTGCTGCTGCGTGAGTCTCGTTTGACATGCATGTGCGTACATGCACTCATTAGTCCCAGGATCATTCTCTTGAAGCGCCCAGACATCGACGTCTCCATCAAGGATTACGAAGGGTACACGGCAGCTGACCTATACAACTCGACACTTCGCATCACAAACCCTGATGGAATGAACGAGGAGCTATCAGAGCTATTGACTTGGGGGACAAATAGGTGCATTCACCGACTGTATGTGCGTGATGGCAACTAACATCCTTTCAGGAACGCTACACTTGGAGTTGGAGACGGAAGTGATCGAACGTACCCAGAGCAAGTTACTATCCCATATCGAGAGAACGAGACGCAGCGCCAGAATATGCAAGTCGAGCGACGTTTCTCCCCAATCCATGTGCGAGAGATCTCTATGTCACGGTTGCATACCGGTATGCTGCTCCTTCATCATCATCGTGACTTCATTCTTCATATCAAACAATAGTGGTGGTAACTTCGGAGGCTCGCGATAACGTTCGCCTGTGCGGTTTTGGGAGTGGTGGCCGGTGAGTCGCATATAGCCATGCCGTTCGACCCCAGACTTAAACTAAGTCTCAGCCTCGGCTCGAGCCAGCACACCCAATACGGTTTGATGGCTCTCCCAGAGTTTTCTCACACCATCGTCTCCGTCGCCCTTGGGCAGGATCACACCCTTGCTCTCACTAGCACTGGCGAGGTTCTTAGCTGGGGACTGAACCGCTTCGCGCAACTTGGCTACGTAGTCGAGAGTGCCACTGGAGTAGGGAGACTAGATGAACCGGTTCAAGCCTCGCCGCGAAAGATAGTAGGGCCGTTGCGCAGGGAAGTCGTCGTTGGCGTTGCGGCTTGCAAAACGGGATCCGCATGTTGGACCTCGACTGAACTTTTTACATGGGGGACTAATGGAGGGCAACTCGGTAAATCATCTTGAGTATTTCGGCGACTTGGATTGACAATCTACGCAGGGTACGCCAAGAATGCGGCACCTGTGCAGATATTGCCGCGAAAAGTGACACTTATCGTCCAGCCTGTAACAGCAGTGTCGATGACGGTAAGAGCCTCTCCATCAGCGGCTCCATCTCAAGCTGAAGTTCGCTCAGGACACTGTTACGGCCTGCCTGCTAGAGACCGGAGAGGTGCATTGCATCTATAACGATGCGATCACCAAGATAAGGTCCGTTTGGTTCGACCACCCTCAAGCATACTTCTTACTCTGTTCAGTATTCCGACCCAATCGTTCCCCTCGGAGATCTCTGTATATCGGCCTCCGCATACCGTCAAGGGACCGAGGGTCGTCAAACTTACTAGCTCTGAAGACACATTCGCAGCCTTGTCCTCGAATAGGGAAGTGTTCATCTTCTCGTCGGTGCCCACCGCGGATGCGGGACCTTCCTCGGGGAAGGCCATGAGTGCGTTCAAGCCGCAGCGCGTTTGGGCACTGAGGAGACAGTTCAGTGCCGTCAAGGTGAGTTGCTGACGATCATTTATCCCGTGGATGTTATTGACTGACTACCCCTTCATTAGGACGTTGGTTTGGGCGCCGATGGTTCCATCATCGTTTGCACACAATCGGGCCACGTCTTTGTACGTACCCGCAATACCAAGGCGGGACAAGGCGGAAAAGCGTTCAAGTTCCATCGCGTCCCGTATGCACAACGGGTGGTGGCTGTATGCGCGAATAGCACCGGCGCTTTTGGTGCCGTCCGAGTCGATTGTGCGCCTGAGCCTATCCGCGTCACGGGTCGGACGCTCGTACAAGATATCGCAGCCATACAACCCTACTTATCGTACGCTACCAAGGATGACCAGATCGCGGAGACCCCGAGCGGCCAGGTCGACCTCACGATGCAACCAACATTCGATTTCGACGAAGAGGCGGATGACGCTACTATCTTGGACGACATCGCGGAATTCGCTCGCGTCCTTGAACTACTCGGTCGCTTGCGCAAGTCGTCTCCGTACGATATGGGAAATCTACCCCATGGTGCCGACGTACTTATACAGGTTGGCGAGAAGGCGGAGATCCCCGCTCACAAGATCATTCTGAGCGCGCGCTCGTCACCCTTGCGGGCGTTATTCTCCGGTGGAGGCGCTATCCAAGATGCGACCACCAAGGTTACCATCAGGCTTTCCGCTTCTTCCAACTGGCCGCGTGTACAGATTCGAGGATCGAACACCATCTCTGTCCTCTTATTACTCCACCATATCTACTCTGACAGACTCCTCGCCATTTGGGACCGGCGTGTCAGCGTACCTTTCGATGCTCAGCTGAAGATGCTCAACGTCGTACCTTCGCAGGTGCGGCTAGAGCTACAGATCCTCGCGCGCCTTCTGCATCTTCCCAACTTGTCTGCGGCGCTCGAATCTCCTGGAAAACGTCTCCCTGTCCCGTGTGCTCCCCAGCAGCTTCAGGAGTTGTATGAGCACGCTCAGTCCGCCGGACCCAAGATGACGGCAAAGACGGTTCGAGGCGATCCGATGGCTCCGGATGTGGAGATCCGGTTTAAGAACCATACGGTGTATTCGCACTCGGCCGTCCTTCGCTCGCGTTCTGGGTTCTTCAATGGTCTCTTCGACGACAAGGAGTGGACAGTCAAAAGGTGGGACAGTCGAGGTGCTATCACACTTGATCTATCGCATATGGACTGGCATATTATGGAGTTTGTTATGCTCTATCTGTGCTGCGGCATAGAAGAGGAGTTGTTTGCCAATCTTGGTGAGTGCGTGTTACGAAAGACCCATGGATATTACTGATCGCGCTTTTCCTAGACTTTGCCCAGAGCATCGACGACGTGATCGAGTTCATGTTCGATGTCATCGCGGCTGCTGTGAGCCTTCCGCATTATTGTCCCTGGGTCGACACTAACTCGCCCCCAGAACGAGCTGTTACTTGACCGTCTGATGCTGATCTGCTCGCAAGTAATTCTGAAACACCTCAACCCGATGAACGCCTGCTACATCCTCACAGACGCCCACCACTTCAATGCCGTCGGGCTCATGTACAGTGTGCACGGGTACATCGCCGCGAACCTCGAGATGTTCCTCGAGGGCCGCATGCTCGACGACGTCGCGCACGGCCCACTGCGCGGGCTCACCGAGTTCATACGTAAGGAGCAGCTCGACAAGTCGCCTGTGTCCCGGTCCGAGATTCTTGGGCGGGAGGCGATGGAGAAGCACAAGGAGTGGGTCGAGATGCAGGACTGGCCGGCGCCGGTTGAGGAGTATAGGCCGGTTGCGATCCACAGGAGCCCGAGGATGAGTCGTGTTTCGTCGATTACGAACACGAACACGAGCGCGGCGGTGGCGAGTGCGGTTGGTGGGTCCCCGGTTGCGCAGGGTTTGGGCGCGCCCGGGGTGGGTGTGCCTGGCCCGGCGGAGGAGGACGAGCTGTTTGCGATGGATGCGGACGTGCCTCCTGCGCTGAACTTGGACGAGGGTGGGCTGGCGCCGCCTGCGGGGGAGGAGGGGAGGCAGAAGGGCGTTTCGCCGAAGACGTCGTTGGTGTGGAAGAGGACGTCTTCTGCGCCTCGGTACGTTCATTTTTTATTCGAACGATGGTCGGTCCGACTCTGAGACATCTTTCCGCGTATTCTCAGCACGGACCTGAAGTCGATCATGGCGGAGGCGGAGAGCTCCAAGAAATCACGGCCTGTTCCTTCGCCAGGCACGAGCTTGGGCTTGGGGAAACCGTCACCTTCGTCGCCGTCGCCACTCTCTCGCATGGAGGATCGGTCGAGAGGAAGCTTGGACAGGATGTCAAGCGGGCTTGGTGTAGAGAGCTCGCGGTCGTCTGGGGGCCCTTGGAGAACGACCGGAACACCTGCGACGCCCTCCTCGTTCCTCGCTCAGCAGCAGCAAGATCTCGCGCAGCGACAGCAAAGGACGCCGTCGTCTAGCGGTGTGGTGCCTCAAGCTGGGGGCACTGCGCCGAGGTTGCTTTCTCAGCCTCAGACGCCAACCAAGACTCCCGGCGTGGGCAGTATGGGACCGCAGCCGAGATCGTCGCCTGGTCCGAAGCCGCAGGCCGCAACACCTGGGCTTGGGCCTGTGATTACGCCGATGAGGCAGGCACCTGCTAGTCCATCGACGTCGAGACGCGTTTCGTAAGTCAGGTTATATATCAGCCTATGATGGCCAATCTAACGACTATCTTGGACAGAAACAACAACAGCGCGTGGACAGTACCCTCCGTGCAACCCATCGTGCAGCCCTCTCTTCCACCGACCACCCCCGCATCGGCTTCAGCTTCGGGATCGGGATCGGGTTCTGGACCGACTCCGAGCGGAAAACCGGCCAGGTCGTCGTTTGCGGCGATTCAGCAGGCGCAGCTCGAGCAGGGCAGCGCGGCGAGCGCGAAGGACCGGCGCAGTCTGCGCGAGATCCAAGAGGAGGAGCAGGTGCGTCAGCGAGAGGAGCAGGAGCGCAGGCAGGAGGAGGAGTTTCTGAGGTGGTGGGCGGAGGAGGAGGTGAGGGTGCAGGGGGAGGAGGGGGGTGGGGGTTCTGTTAGAGGTGGTGCTGGAGGGCGGAAAGGGGGGAAGGGGAGGGAGAGGCCGAAGGGGGGGAAGAAGGGTGGACCTGGTTCTGGAGCTTCGGGATTGGGGGCTGCCGCTGGGGAGGGCGTTGCTGGGGAAGGTTCAGGGAGAGAGAAGAAAGGTGGAGGCAGGGAGAGTGATGGCCGGAGGGAGAAGGACCCAGACAGGTCTCGGGGCAAGCCTCGGGGTGGTAAAAACAAGGGTGGTCAAGCAGCCAGTGCTGGTGGCGCTAACACCAACACCGGTGGAGGACCTGTCCCGTCTTCGAACTTGGGGTAAAGCGGGAGTGGAGGTGCACCGCCGGCGCAGCCGGCACAGTCATAGCGAGGAGCAAAGGCTCCTATCAGGAGCAAAAAACAATGATTCCCAGATGCTATATGTCAACCTAATATACTTTTACTTATAGGCTCGCATATGCTAGACCGTTATCTTAGTTCTGCAGAGCTCATAGACATATAGCGCTAGCTAGCTGACGAACTCATTGCGAGCAGGGCTAACGAAAGAGACGCGACGAAAACACGATGTCGGATGTTTGCTCGGGCTTCATGGCGGTGAAACAAGGTTCTTGTATTTTTAGGGTGACATCATCACGCACCGCCTGTCCCTGAATCGCCACTGCCCTCTGCCCGTCGAACCCTCGAACCCACAAAAACCGAGCGCTCCCTCCCTGCACACGCTCCTCACATCTCTCATCGTCTCCCTTCATCTCACATTTACAATCTTTACCAATCTAAAACCCTTTTTCACATAAAATGGTATGTGTCGACCCGTACACATGTTATAGCCCCTATCTAGATCTGACGAATCTCCTCGATCGCGAAATAGCACGATCGCGATCACGAACACAGGCATCATGACCGCGAGCGCAGAGGCGAAGGCGGGTTCGGCGTCGCGCACGGCGGAGGCATTGCCGACAGAATCAGACGGCGTAGGCGCAGACGCGATGGTGGGAGTGGGAGCGAGACGGATAGCGGGAGCGAGAGCGAGGGGCGCGGCGAGTCTGGGAGGCGCGGTGGTGGTGGTGGCGGCGGCGGCGAATATGGGGGAGAGCGCGGGTACGGGAGGGACGCAGGGTTCGGAGCCGGGCAGCCGCAGGGGTATGGGCACCAGGAGGAGTACGGCAGGCAGCAGGGGTATGGTGGCCAGCAGGAGTACGGCGGGCAGCAGCGCCAGCCTCGCCAGGTCGGCGAGCTCGGTGGGCTCGATAAAGGCGATTTTGTGTCCGATGACGATTTCCAGCGGCTACTGGCTACTGGTGAGCTCGGTAACGGTTCTGGTGGACGGAGTGGGGGTGGCGGCGCCGGAGGATATGGAGCGTGCGTTTTTTGCCGATCCTCTCAACGCTCTTTGGCCTTACTGATCCCTTCATCTCATTGTTACTTTAGCGGTGGCGATGGCTACAGCCAACCTCCCTCGCACCATCACGCTGGTGGTCTGGAGATGCCAGAGAGCACATCGTACGGCGGTGTCCCGCACTCCACCGCGCGCTACGGACCTCCTCCTGGTCCGCCTGGATCCCACGGGGCAGGTGCACCCGGTGGCTTTGCGCCTCCTCCAGGCGCGCCGCCGGGTCAGGCTGCTGGGTATGGAGGTGGGTACGGTGGCAGCGCTGGTGCATACGATGCACCGCAGGGCCCGCCTCCGGGTGGATATGGCGGCGGAGCATCGTACGCTCCGCCTCAGGGTCCCCCACCGGGTGCAGCGGGCGCGTATGGTGGAGGGCAGCAGCCGCACCCTCATGCTCAGCAGCACCAGCAACAGGCGGGCGGTGAGGCGGCGGGGTACTATAATCCGCAGTATAACTCGGGGGAGGACCGACCTGGTGAGCTTTCTCCCTTTCCTTTACCTTACAGTCTGAACAAACGCTGACACGACGGTGTTATCGTTTATAGCAGGCCAGCAGTTCTCGTACCAGAACCTCCCCGCGCTCGCAGCGCAGCACGGTAACGCGGAGGACATCGAGCTCTACCGCCAGGCCTCGCAGCGGCTGCACGACCAGAGCATCAACCAGTCCAACCAGGGCCAGGGGTACGGTGGCCAAGGTCGGCCCCACGCGAGCGGCGACGACGAGTACGCGAACCATCTGAAGTACCACAACCAGGCCTACGGGTGCGTGCTCCCCTCTTGTATTGCGTTAACGGCGATAGCGATCTAAAGGAATTGACGCTGATGTTTTACCCCTGGCAGACCAAACGCAGACGCGCACGACGGCCCCATGGACGCAGACGCGATCGGCGCGGCGGCCGCGATGCAGGCGCTCAAGCTCTCCGCCGCGCAGAACCAGAACCAGGGCCAGGCTGGTGCTGGAGCAGGCGGTGCGCCACACCCTGGTAGTCAGCCGCCGTACGGGCAACAAGCGCAGCAGGTGCACGCGCCCCAGCCCCGGCCTGGCGCTGGACCAGGGCAAGGAGGTGCGTATGGCGGCGGCGGCGGGCAGCACTCCCCCGCGCGCTCTTCAAGCTCGTCCTCGCGCTCTCCCTCGCCCGGAGCCAGAGCGAGCGGCGGCGGCGGCGGTGGCGGTTTAGGCGGACTCGCTGGTGCCCTCGGTGGACTCGGTGGGCTGGGCGGGCTCGCAGCGCTCGCGAGCGGCGGTAAACACAGCGGCTCTCTGGGAGCAGGAGGCGCGTCGGCGGGTGGCGGGGGCGGGCTGAGCGGACTGGGAGGGCTCGTTGCGGGTGCGCTTGGCGGTAAGCATGGCTCGTCTGGCGCATCTGGTTCTGCTGGTGGTGGTGGGGCGCCGTCGGGAGGCGGAGGCGGCGCACAGGACAAGATCGTCGCGCTTGCGATGGCGCAGGCTGGGAAGCTGTTCGATAAGAAGAACGGCGGCGGCGGCGGTGCGTCTGGCGCGAGCGGCGCGGGAGGTGCACCGGATAAGAGTGCGGCAAAGATGCAAGGTGCGTTGCTGTACTTTACCATATCATGCTGAGGATGCTGATTTGACTGCGTGTACTATAGCGATGCAATCAGCGGGGCTGACGGCGATGAAGCTGATGGGCCAGTATAAGTCGACGGGCAAGGTCGAGCTCGAGCCGGGCGAGATGCAGAAGCTGATCGGTGCTGCTATGTCGTTCATCTGAGGTCGTGAAATTGCGGTCGGTTTTCGTAGGTGGTTGTTGGAAGTGGTCATCCGGGTATTCAGTGCGATGCAGAAAACAAGTTCCCAGTCCCAATGTATAATGTAGATTAGTGTACAAATGCAAGAAAATGCTCAGGTACAGCCATTCGAACTTGTTGCTCTAGGTGCAGACACACCGAAGTCCTCGATCGTCGTCAGCTACATATCAGCGCGTCAAGCCATCTTCTCTTTCCTGGGCTTATACGCCCGGTGCCCAAACACATGCCTGCCCAGGCGAATCACGTCTGCGCCCATCGCGAGCGCCGTCTCGTAGTCGCCGCTCATGCCCATGCTCAGCTGCAGCCGCCCCTCGTCCCCCTCCTCGCCCCACCTTATGAGTGTCTCCCCTTCACCCTTCTCAGCCCTCTGCGCATTCACGCGCTCCAAAAACGCCTGCAGCAAATCGCGCGTGCGCACGAGCGTTTCAAAATCGGCGTTGCCCCCGTCCGTCCGTGCGGACTCGGTCTCGCGCGCGATGGTCATGAGCCCTGCGAGGCGGAGGTGTGGGCAGGAGGAGACGATGTGCAGTGCGAGCTTTGCTATTTCTGTTTCTGCGAAATCGTCCGTGCCGCTGTCGTTGCTGGTGCCGGTGCTGGTGAGTGGGGGCGGGGGGAGGCCGACGTCTTTGCCTTCGTCTGTGCGGATTTGGAGGAAGATGTTGATGGTGCGTGGGGAGGGGGCGGAGGTAGGGGAAGAGGAGGCTTTGCGGAGGGCTTTGTCGATGTCGGTTGCGTGGTAGAGTTTGTAGACGGTGTGCACGGCGTAGAGGGTGGGTATTTCTGGGTGTGTGGCAAGGTCAATATGCGCGGATTGGGATATGGTGAGAGGATGAAGGCGACGCACCGACGAGCTTGTTGCCCTTGTGCTGGATGTCGCCGATGTAGTGCCAGCGGATGTCTTTTGGAAGCTGGACACCAAGCATGATAAGCACTCGCGAGGATACAGCAGCATGCAGGAGGCACGCTCACATTCTTCCGCTCCAGCTCTCCGCCTACAAGCGCCGCCTTCTGCTGCAGCATATCCAGATAATTCTCGCCAAAGTCCCGCTGTCCAGCCTCGAAGCACGCGACGACGTCACCCGCCGTGAACGTCTTGGACACAGCCATCAGCCTCGGCTTCGATCCGTGCTTCTGCGCAGCGCCGGACGCTGCGACGATGTGCGCGCGGACCTCGTCGAGCGACTGCCTGAGCTCGTCCGCGCGCTCGGGGGTGAACTCGGTCACAGCCTCGGCCGCCTTGGCCCGCTCGCGCTCCTCCTTTCTTTTCCGCGCGAGCTCGTCCGGTGTCAGGTCTGCCATCGGTGTCCGAGGAGATGCGCTAGTCGAGCGCAGGAGGCGTGCGCCGTGGATCACGAAAGATGGAGCACGAGGACTTGGACTTGGACAGGTGGGTGTGGAATATTTGCTTCCGAGGACGCGAGAGCTGCTTGATGCTGATGATGCGAGAATGCGCGATCGGAGCGGAGAGCGTGTGTAGGACGTCGTCGTCGGCGAACACAGCGGGACGCGAGGACAGAGATGACGCATCCCAAATCTCCTGCAGCGATTACCTTGATTTGGATGAGCACACAGACATCCTCCCGTTCGGACAAGATCGGTCCGAGCTCGCGAAACAAATAGGGGCAGAACCACGTGAGCACGTTGTCGCGTGGGCTTCGGCTCCGGACAGCGTCGTTTCAACTTGACCAGGTCCACCATGGTGCATCCCATGCCGCTACGTTCCTGGCTCTCTCACCTGTTCCCCACAGTGCGGGCGCTCGTCCCCCTTCCAAGGCGCGGAACAAAGCAGATGCTGACCCAAGCTGGAAGTACGCACCGGCCGTTCCCAAGAGCCCCAAAGCATCTAGTCCGCTGCGAGGGACCGTCTCCCATGCTCTCCCATGTTGATCGGGAGTCGCTCGCCAATCTGCTGGGGACACTCCTTCTACCTGAGGACGTTCGGATTTTCGGATCTTGCGGCAAATTCGCTGCATCTCACAGGTGCGTGCCACCAGATGCACTGCAAGAAAGATCTTTTCCCTCTCGTACGTCGGATGACATTGATATTTATTACTTAGGGCGGACACTTTGCGTAACTTTGGGTAACATAAGTACGGATCATTCTCTGGCTGCTTGCTGCCTATGGCTTGGTGCCACTGTGACAGCTGCAAATTCTTCTTCAAAACTCGGCCTGCCGGGCGCATGTCACTTCAGTTTCAATCTTGCACCAACGGAGCGCCCACCACTCGGCTGTGACCGAAAAACATGAGAGTGCTTCATGCGGCGGCAGGCGGCGCCTGGGTATCAGCGAAACTCACCGTTCTGTAGGTTCCCTCTGCTCACCTAAAGTGTCTCCCACCAGGGACATCTTTTCCTCGAGGCGGGCTTCCAAACTTTGAGTGTGCTCTCATCATTCACGTTTAGACTTCGCTTTGGAACATGCGCAGATCATTCGAAGGTCTTTTATATCTTGATGCGGCGTATCCCAAATATAGGTTTGTCGAGCGGACAGGCGGACCTACGCGATACTATGTGGCTGAGGGCAGGAAATTAAGATTCAGTGGAAGCTCTCTCCTATACTTCTCTCGCATGCGAAGCTCAGGACTTGCTCGCCGCGCGGCGGACGCGTGTAAATATTCTGAGGTACTTGCGGCCACGATATAATTTACTCGGTTCGCGATGCACCAAGATTACGGTACGTTCGGCTTAAGACGAACCGACAAAAATTGCACGGTTCGGAGTGCTTTCGGTGAAGCGGGAGTACAGTGGGTTGGCTTCGCCAGAGGCGATGTCAAGGGTTTTTCGCGAAACCATAAAGTACTGGTACTGAGCCATGGAAGAACGACTGCCCACTCGCCTGTCAACTCCCGCCCACTCATACTGATATAAACTGCAACTTACAAGTAAGCAGACTGACACTCCCATGCTCACTGCTAGCAGCAGAGAGAATCCTACGTCCAAGCCGTATCCCACGTCAGCCACGCGCATCACACCGGCGGTCCGCCGTCTATCTACGCATGTACTTACAGTACGGCATTCAGTGCCACCTGGCCATAAGACGCATCAAAGCCCACCGGATGTCACCGACATCACTTACCAGGACCAGGTACCGTCAGTGGGAAAGAAGAGCCCCATGGGCCCGGTGTGACAGATCAAGAGAGAGATCAAGGCAAGATCAAGAGCCAGAAACCTTCGTCTTTGTCACTTACCCCGCGCCCGCGCCCGCGACCGGCCCGCGCCCCGGAGCCGGGCGGGCGTTGTGGGCGGGCCATTTGTTTCCGCCCGCGTTGCTGGGTCCCGGTTTGTGCAGGGTTCCGCGACGGAGGCACCGAGGGAGAACTTGGCCGAAAAAGAAGCCGCCCTTGTGATTTATCGCGCGGCATGCACGGCATGCGTGCTCTCGCCGTCATTATGCACGGATCGTAGCCATTTAGAACAGCACCCTACGGCGTTCCTTGCTGACGAACGTGGCGTGAAGCTTTTGAAGGTAGTAGTAGTCGACAACAGCTCAAAACAGCCGCAACAGAGTCTTGGCACTGCGGGCGGCACGACTGAGCGGCATCGGAAATTGCCAGGGGGGGATCCATATGCGTCCACAATGCATGGAGCTTGTGATCATGATAATGGCCGCAATCTGCATTTGAGCCTGAGGGAAAGAACCGCTGCGCCGACTCGGCCTACCGCATAGGGGTGCACAGTATCTCCCACATGATGCGAGCATTATCATCCCGAGTCCAACACTGGCAGCGCTCATCTCTCCCCTCGAACCTTTCAAGCGCAAGGGGGTAAACAGCAAATACACTAAAAGGCCAAGCTATATAGACTTCAAACTCTTCAAGCCATCAGCAACGCTAACTTCCCGCTGGCAGGCCCCTGATCAGGGGCAAATCCAGACGATCGTCTCCGCGATCAGGTCTGATCAGGTCCCCTTTCCGAGCAAGCAAAAGAGTTTTAGAGACTTTTATCCGCACGACGTGGATCCTCATGGATCTGGCTCCCGAGTCACAGCAGTGCTGAGCAGCGCACACCGTCAGTGACAGCAACGCGGCTCAGGCACCGCCCCGGTGCGGTACCAGTTGCTGCCCAGCACTGTCACACTGTTCCGACCTTGCCCAACTTTGCCCATGTTGCCTATAACGTTGACATCCGACAACGTGTCCATGTGGGCGTCTGATCATGGCTGATCACTGTGTACTAAGGCTGACTCCTATCTGTAGAAGGTAGGACTAGGGTGCTTCGCCGAAACTCAACTTTGCTTGCGCATTGGGCAGGTGGTCGGCCAGCTAAGCTTCTGAGCTTCGCGCTATCATGGATTAATTAATTGCTCACACAGACTAACACAGATGCAGATGCAGCTAGATGCAGCATCCGTGCGTGTGTGTGCGCCACTAATTTCCCGAGGTTCCGAGTCCGGAGAGGCGGTGACAGCGCCGCGCGTCTAAATATTCGTCGGAGTTCGCCTTTATCCTAGACGCGAACAAACCATTCAGGCTGTCCAACGTTCCAACGTTCGTCGGTGAATGTGTTCAGCACCCATGTCTGAAACATGCACGACTCAGATCCGACTATCTCGTCTTTCTTTGTAAGTACCCGCCGACCTCGCTTCCCCGCAGCTGTGCTCGGCATGACATCACTAATTAATGGCCGGAGCATAGGGTGTGCGAACAGCTATTAACAACCTTTAGTTTGAGTTAGCAGGACATCTGATACAGCACTGAGACAAAGGGTTCCCCAGACCAGACATCTGGCTACGGCTCCGTAGCATCTTCCGCCCCGAAGTTTGTCCTTGTCGACGCACATGGGTGCCACGGCAGAGCGATTCATATGCCAGTGGTCTAGCATGTGGTTCATTATCAACGATGAGAACCCTGCAAGATTACTTCGGATCTTCCTCAAAGTTTTAACGGTTATCGACTCCACTGAAATGCGTTGCGATATTTTCGACTTCGTCGAGATAACACGTAAGTGTGTCGGCCTGGGGCACCGTTTACGTTTTTCTAACATTCGAGAGCTATGACGTTCGTTAGCAATATTAATCTCTGGCCCGGGCCGCTGACCTCTGAATCCCTTGGCACGCAGGAGCAGCGTCTTTTTTCCCAGTACAGTCCTCGGCGGACCGGGCTCGCTGACATCTATCAACTCTTGACCCACGCGTGACTCGTCAAACAGGCCTGAAGAGCTGTAAAACGCGCCGAATTTCTCGTCGAGCCTTGCTAAGCACTATACTGTATAAATGCTGGTCCTAGTCTAGTGGTCCGCGGCGTTCCAGCTGGACCGGATCGAATACCACCCGTTCCCATCGAGCCTAAGTGCTGCACTTGCTGCACTTACTGTATCCTTGTGAGTCTCCACCGGATCAAAGAACGATCTTAGTTTAGCTCACTGAACCGTACTTACTATATTAGCCCTTGACATCATACACTTCTATAATAAACATGAGAACATTACTATCACAACATGACGAGTACTCGGCCCCTTGATGCACCAAGGCACACACGACCTTGCACACGACCACCAGTATGACAAACCGGTATATCACCGGCATCCCGGGCTCCTACTACAGCAGATCCAGGTCGCGACGGAATCTGATTTCATAGCAACGATAATAACGCAAGGAGGCAACACAGCGACACCGAACGTCTAATCCCATCACGCCACCACGCCAGCCGACCGACGTCGGAAGCCCGCATCCCGCCGACGTCCAGCTCGGATCCGAGTCTCATCCCCATCCCTGACTGTACCAGACTGTACCTGACTTCAGGCTGGCCCTCCGCGTCTCGCGGGCGTGACATCTCAACGTCCGACGCATCTCGCTCATCGTACGTCCACCATCGTCTCCACGAATATCCACGCGCATCCAACATCACTAGAGAATCACACTGGTGCACACCGTGGCGCTACGCTCAGCAGCGACGAAATAAACACACATCATCATTACCAACTTAGCAGTTATAAACACATACGCACGTCGATGAGATCTCTAGTGGTTGGTATACAAAACTATAATATAAACACCGGATCAACGTCGAGACAAACGAGACAGCGAGATATATACGACAATATGCAGCGACAGAATTTACGATTCACGATTTATGCGAGGTTGTTACAGTTACAGATGGCCAGATACATATCGCCCGCCCGATGCCAGATGAGATCAATCAGTCTAGACCGCAGCCTACTTGCCTCCCATCGCCATCCATCGCTACGATATGTAGCGCACACGTTGTCCATCAAGCCCTCCACGCCGATAGCGAGGGATGCACGACGTGGTCTATGTTCAAGTGACATATACACGCGGTCCCGGGGGTATATTCGCCATATGGCGCACTACCGGAAGGAGAGCGTCCAGTGGTGCAACAGGCAGCCAAACAGGGAGTGGAGTGTTGGATGGCAGGATGGATGGATGGATGGATGGGGCAGCGGCGCTATTATACTGCTACATGTACATACGTATCATATCGTATCATGAAAGGCGCGCAGATCGCGCGCGATAAATCAGTATCAGCAAAAGACGATGGAACGACGACGATGAGGTGGGAAACGATGAGGGTCAGGTTGGTAAGAGAAATGCGGTAAGAGAAAACCGGCGCAACGAGCGGGACAGCAAGAAAGCGAGGTGTGCAGATACGTGTATGGGTGTAAGTTTGTGAGAGTTGTGTATATGCATGTGTTTGAACTATGCGCGGCATGCGCAGGTGTTAGACGTATGGTATTGTGGGACACGCTGGCGCTGCAGGAGTCCCATGGTGGTGGCGTACGTAGCAATATACGTTCCGTCGTCTAAAAGCGCGCTATCGTGACAGTATAGGATACATCGCGTACCGGACCCGGAGAGAGGTTCGTGAAATCCGGGAACACGGGACGTGAACATGGACAAATGCGTGATAATGGGAGAGTGCGAGGAGGCACGATGCAGGATGCCAAGATGCAGATTGAGAGTTGTAGAGTCCAGGGGGTATGCAGCGACGACGAAGATGCGGGGGACTACCGCGCTGAATAGCCCCAGGAGCCATTGAAAGAGCCACAGCCACCGAGGGAGTACCGGCCTTTGCGGTGGACGTCGATGAGGAGGGTATGGCCCGGGCCGAAGCGGGCAGTGACGGACCCCATGTCAACGTCGTTGGCAGCGAAGTGAATGAGCCATTCGTAATGGCCTGCATGATTGGTAAGCTAAACCGATCTGGGAAAATCAATTTGTATTACTCACAAGACTCTTCCATGTGCCACGCGTCAGCGACCACGCTGACTCTCTCACCCTTCAAGCAGCTCACATCAACCATGGCCGGATGGATTTCTCTCGGGAGAGCGACGCTGAGTGAATGCGAAAAGGTATTGGATGTGATCGACATCGCGGGTGCCTTTCCGGGGGGCGGAGAGCGGCGCTCGCGATCGGTGGGGGATGGTATTGGTGGACGGCCACGTGCGAGATTAGAGTTTGGGTCCGAAGATTCGGAGGGACGGGAGGACACGGTAGACACGGTGACGAAGGGAGAAACCTGCTGCTCGCGGCGTTGTAGGTCGGGTGTCCATGCTGTGGGAGCGATGCTGAATACGACATGGGCGGCGCGTTTCGAAGATGGCATGGGTGCGCGGAAGGGTGGGAATTCAACATCGCTCGACTTGGCGGAGCCCACGGGCGCCTGTGGAAGCGGTGCGGGATCGGACACTATTGGCGCGGAGATAGCCTCGGAGGGGGAAAGCGGTGATGGGATGGCAGTGGTGGCGGGTGCGGGGGAGGTGGAAACGGAGACTTCTTCGACGACCATCCTGTCGAGGGAAGAAAAATACGACTTGGAGGGAACAGGCATGGTGGGGAAAGCGGGCGGCAAAGGCTGAACGACTCTTCTACTGCTCTCTGCCGCGACTGTAACAACTGCTACTTCCGTCTCTTCTTCCTCTGCGTCGCCGTCAGTTTCACGATATGGACTCCTGCGACGACAACGGGGAACCGTGCGTTGATGGCAGGAACGAGGAATGCTTGTGTATATTCGCTCAACCTGTGAGGGAGCAAGAGGCGCGGATGGGTGACAAAGAGGGGTTGTCCTGAGACAGAGAGGGGTGGACGGGAGGAGGAGAGGGAGAGGGAGATTCAAAAAGGTGGTACCTCGGCGATGGGTGCTGGCTTTAAACGGATGATGTAGAAAATTGGCACCGCCGAACAAAAAAAATAATTATTTATGATAGTTTGCTGTATTGGGTCCATCTCTACATAACAATCCACTCCATCGAAAAACGTCATGACCCACTAAGCGAACAGTGGTGTGACGCGGAGCGGACCTTCGGTGACACTAGTCGCACGAATTCCGATCTTGCCTTCATCCCCGCCCCCTCGGACCTAAACTCTCCATCCACTTGCCCTTCCTGGGTCATTCTGCCCGGAGCAGAACTGCGCCAGTGCTGCACCGCGCTGTCCTCCCTCACCCGCCAATCGTCGGGGGCCCCGCATATTCCATCCACATCCTGTCAATTCCTGTACCTTTCCCCACCGAAGGGCACAGCAACATCCCAAAAAACCCGGTCCTTCCAACGGATATCGATAGATAGCACCACTACAAATTAGCCTCTACAAATTCACTTGGGCTCTGTCAGCGGACATGCATGCCGCACCTCGGCTGCCCGTGAACAGATGAGCCTATTTCAGCTTGCAGGGATCACCAGCTCGGCGCACGGTTGCAGGGTGAGTATGTCACCATGATGGTGGGAATCTATTGCCATGGGCCGAACCTCTGCCTCGATTTGATCATCACTCTCCGTCCGTGGCGTTCACTTTCCGCCCGGGACATGCACCAAGAGACCGAGAGTCACGGCGTGGCGCCCGTCACCCCCCGTCACCCGTCACGTCCTCGGCGGACTGTCAGTGTCATGGTGGAGTCGAACATTTCATTCCTTTTGCTCGCTGTGTTTCAAACTGTCGTCGCTCCCCACCTCCCCAACGGGACGATCTCGAGCCAAGGACAGCGCCGCACGTTCGTCGCTGGCGCATAGCGTGCTGGTGGGGCCTTGTTGGCGCGCAGCGCTGCATCGTGGCACTGGGCAACATCTGGCATGAGACATTGCGGAAGATTGGGGAGTGGCCACTCGCGTATATTTGCTGCAATATTACAGTGAGCTTATTACTGCAATGTAATGTCGGCGGCGTACTTACGGCGCAGCGGGGGACCACTGTTGATATATTGGTCACCCAGGGCAGCTCAGTGTGCTTCGAATTCCCTCCACAGATCTGATTGATTTTTTGCATCGATACAGTCCGAATTTGTAGCGGATAGGGTTTCGCGCTCATATGCGTGTTCTGTGTTCTAATCCTGCGCTTGTCATAGACGCTCAGCGCCCACCATACTCCGCCGAAGGGAAACGAGCATTGCATGTGGCAATACCTACGAGCGGAATTCCCCAAGATATGATGCATTTTTGGATCATCCGTCGCTCCCGCTCGCAGTGAATTGGGATGGAGAAGAACACGAATAGAAACCCTGAGTTTGTTTGTTTGGTTCTGCCATCCAAATTTACTTACCTACCCCAATCAAATCACCGCGACGCACCCCGTAGTCTAAGTATTTATGTTCATGCCCGGCATCGAGTGGAGTGCTAAAATGAGTATCATAGATGCAAGACACGGGTGCGCCCCACATGAACGAAGCAGCGAGATGTTGATGAAATCCCACTGTGCCAGGAATTCGATGCTTCCGAGACAACGAACCCCGCCAAGTCGAGTGCCCGAACAGTCACTTCGGTCGATCAGCGGTCAGCCCCTGCTCCGCAGGCCACCCTCGATTCATTGTGGAGCCTGTCTGGCGACTTGCCCTTCGACTATAGTAGCCACGTTACTTACTCATGCTCCTGGCCATCAATCCCTCGAAAGACTCGACGGCGAACTATATACTTACCGTACTAGCTGCGCTCGTCAGATACCACCCCTCGTAGCCCCACCCGTGCCCATATGATGCTACACGGACGCGCCTCGCCAAGGCATGAACATGACCATCGTTCGCGCTGTTTCGTGCTGGGGTCACGTTCCTGATAATCATAGTATCATGGTCCCGTGCACTGGCCAGTGACCCGAGCAGTCACTGGAGCGCGTCTTGGCGGCGGCGTTACTGGGAAGGTAAGTCGCCACTAACAGAACAGCAGCGCACTGAACTTTGCATTAACAGCCTCCCACAGTACTACCGAGCACGAGATGGCGTCTTTGAATTTTACAGCACCTATGCACTACCTTTGTTTGGGATTCACGTTCCGATCCACAGCCAATCCCAGCCGACGTGTATGCTCTGCGAGCTGCCGCGTACCGGGAAGTACGGAGCACCGGATGAGCCGATTACGGATAGGTAGTAGCGGGGGCAAGCAGACGTATTCTTGACAAACAACACGCACATACGCCGCATATCCGGACACTTATCAAGCAGTAGTGTGAGTGCGGAGCACAGCTGGCGCAGCAATACGTAGGTAATGGGTAAGCACTTAGACGGCCTGCTTGATGTGCGCATGCGTGCCGCAGGTGCATGACGCGTCGCGGGAGGATGTGCATGCACTGGTGTGCGATGGAGATGGATAATCCCTTTTGAGGGTGCGCAGCCCACTGAAGCGGACGTACATACTGTGCAGGCCAGGGGCGTACAGTACGCGGTACGGGTCCTACGGGACGCGCAAGCTGACAAGTCCCTCCCGAGGGCTGTGCCAGTACCACAGTCGGGTGGGATATGACATACTTTCGTGCTTAGACGACGTTCACGCGGCGACGCGTGTCACCGAGTCGTGCTCCGCGCCCGGCAAAACCTATGCAAGATCATCGGCGTCGGCATCGGCGGGGGGTCCGGCCTCGTGTCTCCGTGCCGTCGCTTGGTTTTCGGAAGGAACATCGGGTTATCGACGTTGACGGGCAAATCGTCTCGTCCAAGGTCTCATCTACATCATCTGCGGGACATCTCCTCCTCTCGCATGATGATCGTCCACGGCTTACATCGGTATTCCGAGTCCACTCGGACTGCATATCACATTGAATCTGACATGGTGATTATGCTCACTTGATGCTCACCTGCACTGGTCCCTGCACCTGCACCTGCACCTGCACCTGCACCTGCACCTGCACCTACATCTGCCAGTGTTCTGTGACCCCTCGGCCTGACCAGCGACCACTCCACCCCACCTCAGCCGAAGCTCCCATCATCCCTCGCGAATCAATTTCGCGGAATAACTTCATCCCATCCACCACTGACGTCGCGAATATATGCCAAAGTCATACGATGTTGAAACAACTCGAGGTTGGTGCGAGGGGTGGCGATCGAGGTGGAGGACTCAGACTCGAGGGAGCAAGGCGGCAACGGCTAACAACCCATCAGCTGCTCAGGGTCTATAAGGAAGCTCGAGGGTGGGATCGTGGTCTTGTGCGGCGAGGAGGAGGTGCGGCCGACACGAGGGAGGATGAACTCCACAGCAGATAGCCCCAGCGCTGAATTGATGCTTAAACTGAAACGTTGTCTCTTGCGTTGGACACTGTGATGCTAAGGGTTGTTTAGGTGTTAGGCGATCGACCGATTCGCTTTTTGGTCCCGGGGTTCTCGAGAAGTTTCATTAGGGATTCATCGACATCCATATCCATCACAGCTCACATGGACACCTTGGTCTCAGCACGCTGCAACCCTCGAGTCGATGACGCCCTCATAGGTCCCTGCAGGCAGCGAGTGGGCATATGTGGGTTTGAGTGCCCGCGAAGTTAGCGTTCAGCTGACATCCTCTGGATCAGTGCACGAGTTCGCGTCTCAAAAGGCCCGGAGAGCTGTGGTGGGTATTGAAATACGTCGTTTGGTAAGTGGTTTTCTTCGTGAGATTAATAAGAAAAAGCTCGAGCTTTGTGGAAAGGTCTCAGCCGCGCATCCGCGCTCTCCGTGGAAAGCGCAGCTCGGGCATGATGGGCAGCGCCCGCACCATCCAGCAACAGTGACATCATGATTTGGTCCTATTTGCGTTTAAGTGCGAAGCTTAAATTGTGACTCCGGGGCTCCATGGCATTTCCGTCAGGCGCCCTCGGTAGCGCCGCGATCAAGCCGACGCTGACATTTCAATTGAGCTGGAAGCCGGAGGAAGACTTCGAGATGCTTCGAAGAGTAGCAGCTGTCAGCGTGGGTGCGGCGTCTGCCGCGCCATCGAGCTGGCTTCTTCGGTTTATGGCTTTCAAGTTTCTTCAAACTCTCAATTGAATGATCTGCTCCTCCCGTTTTCAGTCAGATTCACCGTCCAGTCACAATTCAGTCGTTCGACAGGTTCTTTGAGGGAGTGTCACGTTGTCATCAACAGGAACCAATAATTTTGCTAACGTTTTACACTTCGTTCGATGGTTGTGAGCGTCAATCGGGTAAAACATCAATATTTGCTTCTATACATTGAGTAGGCTCCTTGCAAAGGCAGAATTTATACATCACAAGCACCTCATTCATATGCAGTGATCCCGGTGACCATGTAGGTCCGCGTTGTATTACCCTATAAAAACCGAGCGGCCTGAGTCATAATCTTAGCTCAAGCTCATGATCAGGCCAGGCTAACATACTTTCCATCGATCATGCATCATGCAATACTCTTTGGGCGATGACACGGGACAGTTGAATTAAGTTAAGGTTACATTTAGAGGACATAAGGCACGCATACATGCCGTGGCCTAGTTCAATGGTCCGAGAAGACCTGATCCAATAACAAGATATTACCTTTCATTCAACTTGCATAGAAATGGCCACGCGTCGACACAGTGCTTCAGTTAGCCAATCTCTCGGTAGGCCCCTGGAATATGGGGTGCATAGCGCAGTGTAACGTGGTTCAAGCGGGTCCGAGATCTGCACTCAGCCTTTCCTGGTAAAGGTACGTTGCCATTGTTAAGCTGTCCTAATGAAACAAGTACTCCGACATCAAGCACATGTTCTCACCCAGTTAATAATACTAGTAGCCCATTGGCACGATTTCGTATTTGAGATCCAAGAAGTAGTCGTCAACCCGTGAATCGCTATTACGCAGGCACAGTGTAGATCCCGATTCATCTCCTGCGGATGATACTGCAAGGGAACGGCTTTGGGAACCTGAAGACGAGGAGTGCAAGGTATAACACATAAGTGGACCTGTAAATATATCTAAGAGAAGGACTCACATTGTCGTAGCACAAAACCACTCAGGCTCGAATTCCACGATGTTTCCAGAAGAATCCTTCACCTTCTCAATCTTCAGCGATGCCAGAATGCTCGCCATTGCCATCCACAGAGAGTTGGTTGCGACGTGTCGGCCGGGGCAGACACGCCGTCCAAATCCAAAGACGTAGTCGATTTTGTCATCGTTCAGCGTGCCATCGGGACGGAAGAAGCGCTCGGGCATGAACGTCGATGGATTGGAATATTTGTCTGGATTTTGAGACATTCCCCTGGTATGGTCGTTAGTATCTCGTGCGCGTCATCACTAAATGTACCAATCACCAAACGTTTGGGATAACCACGCATCCTGTCAAAGAAAACGGATAAGCTAGGATGTCTCCCATATGAACTAGCGGCTAGACCCACCTTTAGGGATGTAGTATCCTTTGTAAATGTCCTCGTTTACTGCGGCGTGAGCTATACCTACGTTTCATAGGGTAAGGAAAACAGGCCATCAAAGTGCACGCGTGCGAGGGTCACCTTGGGCCCCAGTGGGCTTCCATCTCAGCGTCTCTCGGTAGACTGCCTCGAGATACGTCAGAGACGCTCGGTCTTCATAGTCTGGCAAACGGTCTGGCCCAACGACTCTGTCAATCTCTTCCTGAGCACGCCTCTGAGCCTCGGGAAACAGAGTCATGGCGAGCATGAATACGGTCAATATTGAGCCGGTCTGCGGACGTGTTTCAGAGCAGCTATGTTGGTAGAACGGTTATCAGGAAACGTACCGTTTCCTCCCCGGCTTTCAACGCGGAGTCAATGTTAGCCGATGCTGCGGCGAAGGAGGCTAGATTCACTCACCAGAGTAAAGCGCACCGCAGGCGTTTCGCACGAGGGTTTCAAAATCTTGTATCTTGTCTGTGTCTCTGAATTTCTCGAGTGCATCGGCTCCAAAACACCCGTTGGCGTACCCTGAGGACTACGGCGAAGAACCGCAACACATATCATCAGTTCTAGCTTGCGGTTTCACACGCGTACGTACTATATGTTTTTCAAGAGCATCAAAAGGGGCATTGATCATGTCGGTGAGAAATTTGCGGCATCTAGCGCCATTACGCCATCCGATTCCAGGAAGCCACGCTGGGATATACTGCACTATATAACAAAAAAGGTTGCGTGTAACTCGACTGGAACAGAGAATAAGGCAGAGCGTTTGAGTTACTCACGGAAAGGGAAGACTGACACGAGCAGGATATTGGCTGGTGTAACAGTCTTGTTCATCATATCAACACCTTCCAGCACCGTGTTGAAGACGTCATCTTCGCCGCCGCGGAGATCGTGATCATATACGACCTTCAGTACGACCGAAGCTGAGTATCTTGGACCAAGTTCAGACCGAACGGAATAGCATTCAGCTTGGTAAAAGTACGAACCTTCGAATATGATCATAGAATTGCTCCGGCGTTGTTGCTAAGTTCTCAACGAGCTCGTGTGCTCGCTGCGACTGAGCAGGACGGAATGTTTTGGCGATGTCCTGACGCAGGCATTGCTGGAAGAGACGTCGGTAGGCACGCCATACGTCTCCATATCTTTCGAGGATCATGAAGAACTTCATCCCATATCTTAACGCGCGATCACAGTGACACAGTGAGCGAGCCAAACTTTCATTGCTCGGAGATCAAGGCAAGGGAACGTACGAATTGAAGATGATCGACAGATCCATCCTATCCGAATAGTTCGCAGACCGGTTGTCCAGAACGTCCTCTGCAGCTTCCTCCGTGTTAAGCACGACAACATCTTGGCCCAGTTGTCGGAAGTACACAACATCGCCTGCGACTCAACACGTCAGTGCACTGTCCACGCGTACCCCTGAGCTGATAAGGTGGCGTACCGTATTGCTCCTTCCACGCAGTATAGGTAAGCCACGGCTGAGTCGTATCCAGCTGGTGCAGGTTTCCCAGTATAGGGATCGGCGAGGGACCCGGGGGATAGGCTTCATCCCGCTGTCGTCGGTCGCGGAGGGCCCATCTGACAACGACAAGTGCGGCACCGACACCTAGAGTGAGCGAAGACCACGTAGCGGGGTCGCGCAAGGCCATGAGCGGACGCCTGAGAGGCAGAAAAACAAAAGTAGAAAGGCAAGTTCGCAATTGGGTTACCCGAGAGCTTTAAAATCCCTGACATGACTACCTGCCGGGCGAATTGAGGGGCCGAGTATTCCGAGTTGGATCCCACAGAACGTTCCATCAGCGCGGCCCTGAGCCAGAATAGTCAGTCTCAGCCGAACTTACCTGGTTGCATGCACGAAAGCATCGATGATGGACTCGGGCTCAATTGATCAATAATCCAGTCGTAGACTTATCATGGATGAAAATTGTCGGCGAACAAAACCAGGCTGGTGTACGATCACGGAAAGAACTAGTCCAGGGTTACCGAACGGTCAGAGTGGCTCCTAGAACAGAGATATTTCGGAATAGTCCATGCGTATGTGCGTGCACGTTCTGTATTCAGAGAATGATGAAATGAGGGTGGTCATCAGCGGCGATTGTCACTGACATAATTTCGAGGCCTTGAGTGGCTACAGTTTTTTGGCATAAGTAAGAAAGCCATCACAGATGCCTAGGTGTTTTGTACCTGCATGATCAACGCTTGATTGTCCCTCTTCCTAGCTGGAGATGCGGTGTACAGTTTGAAAGGCAGTAACATCGCCGGGATGTATAACGACGAGTGAAAGAGTAGTGGATAGAGCTGACAGACGCGAGCTGTATTACATATGCTGCTCGCGTCCACCGTTGCCTCCCACCTTTCTCACGAGTCGCGTTAGGGGACCGTGGCCATCGAACGCCCAGTCCTCTCGAACTGACTGGTCGAGTCATACCGAGGACCAACTTGAAGACATCTCTCCTTGGTAACTCTAACGCTTTTGCAGTTTGCGATGGGCATCTACACACTGCGAGCCAATACAACTATATAATACATTTATGAGTCAGTGACTCTTTCGAGCTATAATCCGACAGGGGAAAGGCTCGGGCGCGCTAGCAATCAGCAATAATCAGCTCTCCGTGCATACCATCAAGAAATAGAGGTGCTCACGAAGTCACGCCATTGTGCCACTTCACCTCTCCACCCGTTTGCAGATACTCGGACTCGAACGTGAACCCCGCTAAAAGTCGACCAATCACAATCCACAGTGAATTGTCGGCAAAGTGCCGCCCGGGGCAGATACGCCTCCCGAACCCGAAAGCATAGGTGGGTATATCGTCCGTCAGTACTCCTTTGTTATCAAAGAACCGTTCAGGTTTGAAGGAGGAGGGCGACGGGTATCTTTCAGGATTCTGCGAGATTGCCCTAGAACGATACATAGAGTAAGCGATGAGTTAGGTTGTCCGCTTACTATTTTATTACCATACGTTCGCTATCACCACTGAATCTATGTTCGTGGCCGAGTAAGACGAAAGTTTGCCCAGCAGTTTCGGATGTTGTGAAGCGCACCGTTAGGAATGGCCCACCCCTTGTAGACGTCGCCATCGGTCGCGGCATGTGGGATACCTGATCAAAGGCAGTACTCAGTGATGTATGGTATGCGCCGAGGAGCTCATTACTGACCAAGCGGCGCAACAGGGTGCCATCTCAGAGTCTCTCGGTAGACTGCTTCGACATAAGGCAGAGATTGGCGATCGGCAAAGCTTGGAAGACGATCGGGCCCTAACACACTTTCGATCTCCTCCTGCGCGCGTACTTGAACGCTGGGGTTTTGAACCATAGCGAGGAGGAAGATAATGAGCGTGGACGACGTCTAGTTAAGCTAACGTGAAATGCCATGTACGCAAAGGCCCCTCCATATAATACATACCGTTTCTGCAGCGGCTAGGAAAACTCCAGTCAGCGCCAGATTGTAAGCTCGGGCGAGCTGATTCTACTTACCTGAGTAAAGGGTAGCGCATGCGTCTCTAACCACCTTCTCGAAGTTGTTGACTTTGTCAGTGTCTCCAAATCTGTCCATCGCCTCCAACGCGATTGATTTTCCCGTGTTTCCTGATGCCTAGAGATACCATGATCTAAGCAGATGGATGAACAAAGGATGCTATACGTACAATCTTCCTTTCAAGGAACTCAAATGGCAGGTTGACCATCCTATCTATCTTTACTCGCGCTGCATTGAAATTGCGCCAACGGGAAGACGTTCAAGAGAATGGTACTCCCAGGCGACAACAGTGGCCGCATAATGTCCAACGCTTCAGTGACTGACTTCAAATTGGGTCGTTCTCGCCGACCACATCGTGGTCGTACGTAGCCGAAAGAATGACTGAGGCGGCAAAACTGAGCACTATGAGACAATGGCCACGGGAAGATGCGTGAATGGTGTCGTCTTACCTCTGGAAATGTTTGTGGTAGTGCTCGGGTGAGTTTTCTAGGCTCTTGATAAGCGCCTCTGCACAGCGGAACTGTGTCGGCTGGTAGATGTCCACGTGGTTCTCGCGAAGGCCCTGGTGAGCAACGCGCCTGTGGGCTCGCCACGTCTCGTTGTGGCGGTGAAAGATGGTGTTGAAGCTCAAAGCGTAGCTGGAAAGTTCAAGGCTTCGTCTGCGTCATAAACAGGAAGACATACGACTCGCTGGCGGCCATGGACATCCTGTCCGAGTAGTTACTCGACCTTCTCTCTATCAAGTCTTTGATGGCCTCTTCGGAGTTCAGCACAATGACATCTTGACCGAATTGCCGGAAGTAGACAACATCACCTTGACAAAGACTTCCGTCAGCCTTAGATAAGCAGCAAGTTCAAAGGAAAGCACACCATGCCTGGCCTTCCAGACAGAGAATGTCGTCCATGGCGCAGAAGCATCTAGAAGGTGCGCGACTCCGAGCAGAGGAAGAGGTGAGGGGCCTGGCGGGTATATTTTACCGTCGCAACCTCGACGAGTCTCCGCTACTTTCCACAAGGCAGCAGCTGCAAGAAGCAAGGCGCCAGTAGGGTAAATAAGGGACATTGTGAGGAGGAAAGGGCTTGATTACTCGGCTACTCACAAAACTATATACTACGTTTGTGACGTAAATGTCAAGTCTGATCAAACCCGGTGGTGGACTGTCCTGATATTGACCTGAGGTGGCGATACGTCGCCGATATGTCTGTCCGACCTCTCTCTAAAAGTCAACATCATACGTTTCAGTGGCTGTAGAGACGGAAGACATGGCTTAATGAACTTACGACATGGGTGGAAGAGTCGCGGGTTGGTGCGAGCTTCATGATGCTCACAGTGGTGTTTGGGTGGCGGGCGACCGCATCTCATTTTCCCACCATTCCCACAAATAGCCTGAGCTCGAGGGGACCGTCGTCGTCGTCGGCTCCGGTCTTCTCCTTACTAGTTGGGCCATCGGGACAAACATGAATATACGTCTCTACTCTACACTTTCAGCATACCTGTCGCAGCGTTCAGGATTCTTCTACACCCAGCAAGCTAGCACGTTGCTCCAGCCCGCAACATGGATCCAGCACCTCGCTCACCAACTCTGACGCCCGGGAACGTAGCGATAGCAGGAGCCTTCGTAGCATTCACCGTCGTCGTGTCGACTGTCCTCAAACTAGGCGTAGGAGGAACGTTGTTGACGGCCGCGATACGATGCATTATACAACTATCCGTGATGGGTTTCTTCTTGCAGAAGATCTTCGAGACGAACAACCCGTGGGCAGTAGCAGGGATTGCTAGTGAGTGCTATGTTGCTGGTGTCCTCTCCTCTGCTGATGACGTGGCTACTTGGCTAAGTGTTGCTCAATTTGCTGGGAACGTTCGAGGCAGGTACAGTTGTCCCCCTGAGATGGACTGGAAAGATGGTAGCATTCGCTCATGAGCGCATATAGTCACGAATAAGTCAAAAAAGCGTCATGACTTCATGGTACGAACGCTTCCCCTTCACGCTTACGAGACGTCTCGGCTGACATAACACAGTTTTTCTCCGTATTGCTGGGGATGTTAAGTTCAACAATACCCGTCTCAATACTTGGATCTCGCTTTGCCATGTCTTCAGAACCGTTCTGGAAGCCTGAACAGTATAGTGCGTTTGTTTGGCCCTTCGCATGCATACACTTGACATGGGCATATCATCAGTCCCTATCGTTGGCATGCTCTGCGGTAACGCCATCTCGGGGGTTGTCGTAGCGGTGTCATATGTACTCAAGGAACTCTAGTGAGCGCTAGTAGTTTGGTTACTGGGCGGTTTTCAGTCGTCTGATAATATCCCACTAGCGAGAACAGAGACAAGATTGAAACTTACCTCGCCTTTGGGGCCTCTCGCTTTGAAGCATGTACACCTCTCGCCCAGGAGGCTCTGCGTCTAGCCCTCACACCAACCATGAACCAGATGAGGTGCGCACTCACCGCTGGCCATATCACGCGCATGCACTAACTCATGTCAATACTTTCCCAGTGTCATCGGTCTCATTTCGATACCTGGCATGATGACCGGCGCGATTCTCGGTGGCTCGTCCGTCGAGCAAGCCGCAAAACTGCAGATCATCATCATGTTCATGCTCTCGGCGTCGACGGCGCTCGCGTCGATCGTTGCGACGGTTATGGCGCTACACGTTGTCGTGGACAAGGAGCATCGGGTTCGGCTTGACAGGGTTGACGTGCGGGACCATGCGATCTGGCGCGCGAGGGCTTGGCTTGTGGGAAAGGTTATTGGTGTGCTGCGGGCGCTGGTCGAGCCGGTGACAAGAATGCTCAAGCGGAGGGGTGGTGATAGGTGGGACGACGGAATAGGTGGCGAGAGTGGAATACTGCTTAGTTGAAGAGGGTATATGTGTAGACATGGTATGTTGCTCTTGGACTCGAACATTGCATTAGTTTGACGTGTTCAAACGTTCCCTCATTGCGGACATCTTCGTCAGTTTGTTATATTAAATGAAGTTGCTCGATTTGATCCCACCCTTCTTCTCGTCGTATGCCAAATTTCGACAGTGACCCCATGAATGTTCGTAGCGGCAGCGGTTGATATCTGCGTATTATCACTTCAATGGTTCTTCATGAAACCTTCCAGATCATTCTTGACGCTCACAAGCTTCTGATGCCCCAATACACATGGCATTAGGAGGGAAGCGAGGCATATTTTGCCGTAAGCTTGAAGCGCTGGCGATGAGGAACTAAGGTCCGGGACCAGCAGGGTTTTGGCCATATTTCAAGCATCGTGTGAGTATGGTGTGCACGTTCCGCTTCTATTCGCCTTTCATCAATCCACCCCAGATGTCACTGATAGGAGCTAAGTCGCCTCCCTTTCTTCGGGAACCTGTGTTACAGTTTGCGCTTGTCCTAAACAGCATCGGCTTCTCCAATGCGGGAACTAGGCTTTAGTTTGTGGCTCAACATGGAGTGGGCTTGCTGCACGTGGTGGGCACATCGAACACGACTTCGGATACTAGCGGGTACAACTTTGTTACAAGCGCCAGAAGTAAATTTGGTCGCAGCGTGAGAGTCGATGAGATATGAGACTCGTGCCCCAATCTTGACCATCTTGACCATCTTAACCCATTCCCTCTTACACATTCCATCGGTGTCTTCCAATGTCATTCAAGGTCCGTACTCCAGGTTACTGCGAGGCAAGTACCCTTCTGGCTTCTTCACATTTCCTGGCACTAAATACTACACAGGCATGTGGAAAGCGTCCTCGGTATTCGGACGGCCAAAAAGTCCACCCCTATTGCAGTAAGAGTTGCGCAACGTATGCTAGACACATTCGAGGTTCGGTATCCAACGAGAGCAGCGTGCACGATGGACTTTGTGAGGTCGATGATTTGGACCTGCATTCGTGATTGACGACTCACTCGTACTTCAGGCTTGCCATGCTCGCCCCAAGCGCTCTGATGGAGCTACAGTTCACCCTTATTGTGGGCGTAGCTGTGCCAACTTTGCCAAGAACAGTGGTGTAGTTGGGCCATCCACGCGGAGCGGGTCTCGTATGTGCCAGGTACGAACTCTGTCTCCGATGTGAGACTAACTTGCATTTGATAACCAATCCTATAAGACTTGCGGGCGCCGGCCCCAACATTTCGACGGGCGCATTTTGCACCCCTACTGCGGCAAAAGCTGCGCTGCTGCTGCGAACAAAAACAATTCCGTGGGGTACATTGGGCCCTGTGAAGTTTGCTCCCCTCCATCTGCCTTCATCCTCTGTAGTTCTCACATGTTGCTGCTAGTTTTGTGGCCAAGCACCTCGTTACTTTGACGGAAACACAATTCACTCTTGCTGTTCAATGAAATGTGCAAGGTCGGCCAGTGGTGAAGGGTATGTATTCCTCGTCGCTTTTGATGACTTTTCTCATACGACGCTTAAAGAAATCCTTCTGAGGATCGTTGCCTAATATGCGGAGACCCCGTGCACGAGGGTAGACACTTTTGCAGCAACAATTGTGTACAAAGTGCGGTAGACTCAGCCCCTCTGTTACTCGACGTGCCGAAGGAAAATGCTACCTTTCAAAGCGGTTAGTGATTTCACGCGATGTTACTGAACGAGACCATGGTTCTCACATGTTATGTAGTCGTAAACCAATTTAAGGCTACATGGAAACACTCCACAGATTGCCCCACTGTACGTTGGGTGTTTAAGGTCATCATATCTCGAAGGCTCTTGAGCCAATATGAGACACACCGGTACGCTTTACCCGATTACACTTTGGATCACCTTATCAACTCGTCACTAGTGCCGGTGTTGAGGCGCGCGGAGACTTTGTATCTGCTGGTATGAGTCTCGGTAACGAGCAGCGTCGCTGGCACGGAACATTTCGCGAGTGCCTTCTAGGCGATGAAGGAAATACTGAGACATGCAACTCCGTTCAATGTCGCCTCTGTCAGATCATACGATGCTCATTCAAAATCGAGCTTTTTGGCACAAATATGACGTGGGGAAGGTGAACGCTTTTTTTCTAATATCAAGTTGTCGCACTCATGACTGCGTTTGTAAGATTTGGTAAAGGCATCTATACTACATCAACATCGTCCAAGTGAGTTGCTTAGTTCTGGGACACAAACCTCGACGAATGATTATTTTAGAGCGAACGACTACAGCAAGAGTAGTCAGGGTTCTCTATACAAGACGCTGCTTCTGAACAAGGTGATTGTTGGGAATGGGTTCAAGGTCACTAGAGACCAGCAAACGTTGCAGGCCCCTCCATCTGGCTATGATTCAGTAAGTTCCGCTGTCACATTCTTCGAGAAGTTTTGCCCACCTAGCGATGAATGTAGGTTTTGGCGGAGGTCGTACCGGGGGGCACGTTGAACTATGATGAACTCGTTCTCTATAATGACGATGCCATCCGCCCATCCTATCTTGTTGTTTATGATGCTTAGGATCGCCTGTATTCAAACCTTGCAGTGGCATTTGCTTCTTTACCAGCTAAGAGTATGGGCTGAGCGACTTGAAACTCGCCCGTGTTGGTGCTTGATATCCCGGGATACGTGTTCTCGATAACCATTGGTAATGGCTGGTTTGCCCAAACATTGTTTCATTCCCGCCGAACAAAGATAACACAAAGTGCTATACATATCCAAGTGGTGCCAGATAGATACGTACTCCAGACTGTGGAAAACAGCTTGCAAAATCCTTGTTCAAACGAGACATTTCTATATTCGCGTAACTACAGGGCGGGTACACTCATTTAGTGGCTCTTTCGAGGGGTAATTAGACAGGGGAAAGGCTCGGGCATACTTCATACATCGGCGATTAGTACACGACCAAAGCTCGCAAGAAACTTTAAGGAGCGGCACTCACGAAGTCACAGCATTATGCCATTTCACCACCCCACCCGCTCGCACATACTCGGACTCAAATGTAAACCCAGCTAGAAGTCGAGCGATCGCAATCCACAGCGAGTTAGTAGCAAAGTGGCGCCCGGGGCAAATGCGTCTCCCAAAGCCAAAAGCGTAAGTAAGCGAGTCGTCTGTCAATCCACCTTTGCCGTCAAGGAACCTCTCAGGTTTGAAGGAGGAAGGAGAGGGGTATTTCTCCGGGTTCTGGGACATTGCCCTACGACACAGTACGCGAAATGAGCGGTTGCGGAGATTGTAGGCATGTTGGTTTACTGACCACACGTTTGCTATCACCACTGTATCTATATTTGTGTGTTAGACGTCTGATTAGCAGACTGAAATTTTGAGATACGCGTGGCTTACCTTTAGGAATGTACCAATCCTTGTACATGTCGTCATTGGTCGCGGAGTGAGGGACAGCTAGTCAGAGGGTGCGGTCAAGGGCGTCAAATTTGCAGTGGAAAGTTCGTTAGAGTTACTCACCAAGCGGCGCCACAGGGTGCCATCTCAATGTCTCTCGGCAGACCGCTTCGATGTAAGGGAGGGATGACCTATCAGCAAATTCGGGCAATCGGCCTGGCCCCAGCGCCCTATCGATCTCCTCCTGCGCGCGTTTCTGGACGTCAGGATATTTCACCATGGCAAGCAGGAAAATCATGAGCGTAGATGACGTCTAATGATTGAAGTGAGACACCTCAGTGTCGGAACTTCTCAGCAGATAGCATACCGTCTCTGAGGCAGCTATAAGATGGGCGGCTTAGGCGCTGATCATATGCCATGAGCCGCTGGTTTGCTTACCTCCATAGAGACTGCAGCATGCACCCTTGACCACCTTCTCGAAGTCGGCGACCTTGTTGGTGTCCCTGAATCTTTCCATCGCCTCCAAGGCGATTGAGTTCCCCGCGTTTCCTGATGCCTAAGATGAACGTATCTCAATAAGTGCCTACATGAAGAATGGTATACGTACAATCTTCTTTTCTAAATACTCGAAAGGCATGTTGAGTGTCCTGTCTACCTTCACTCGCGCCGCAGTGACGTTACGCCACCCCCCTGGGAACCAGGTCGGGATGTACTTTACTGTGCATCTGGCGATTATGATTGCTGAGGCATTTTATGGGAAGTCACTCACAGAGCGGGAAAACATTGAAGAGTATGGTGTTCCCAGGGGACTGAAGCGGCCCCAGAATGTCATTCGTTTCCGTGACTGACTTCAGGATTGGATCATTCTCGTCGATTACATCATGGTCGTATATAGCCGAGAGAACAACGGAGGCGGCGAACCTACGGAACAGGTGTTAAAGACAGGAACTTGCGAAGAATGTTTACGTACCTTTGGAAGTAACTGTAGTACTGCTCGGGTGATTCTTCCAGACTATTCATGAGCGCCTCGGCAAAGCGAAGCTGTGTCGGCTGGTAGATGTCCACGTGGTGCTCGCGAAGGCCCTGGTGAGCGATACGCCTATGCGCCCGCCACGTCTCGTCATGTCCATGGAAGATTGTGTCAAAATTGAGACCGTAGCTACCAACTTTGAGAGATTGTCTGAGGTTAACAAGAACGAAGAAGACCTACGGTTCTCTGACCGCCATATCCATTCTGTCCGAGTAGTTACTCGATCTTCTCTCCAACAAGTCTTTGACTGCCTCCTCAGAGTTCAGCACGAGGACATCTTGTCCGAACTGCCTAAAATAGACGACATCGCCTTTGGTAAGTGTTCGTTAGCGTTCGACATAATGAGGTTGCAGCAACGAAGCGGATAATCCTTACCGTACTCAGCTTTCCAGTCGGAGAATGTGGTCCATGGTGCAGAGGCATCTAGGAGGTGCGCAACTCCTAGTAGAGGTAGAGGCGAGGGGCCGGGTGGATACGTTTTGCCGTCACGCTCCCGACGAGTTTCTGTTGCCTTCCATACGGCCGCTGCTGCAAGAACCAAAGCGCCAGTAGGATAGAGGAGGGACATTGTTAGGGAGAGATAATGCGCCTACTACCGAATACGACGTGTCCTTTATATGTCTTGCAGGATTCCAGCGCTGATTTGAAGAAATTCAGCGATTGGTGGGCCTCATGGTCCTGTTGAATATCATGCCCATTCCCCATTATGTCGTACTGTGTTGAGAGGGGTCGCCACTGTCCAGCCGAGGCGAATCGCCATGTTCGCCCAGAATCTGCGACCCGGACGCAACCACAGCACCGGTGGGGTTACAAAACATGCCCACATGATTACGACCCAATGGGCGAACCTTCTTTTCCGGCACTGAAGAAGCTGCGGAGACAGTGTTGTCCGAGTCGTGCGAGCCTCAAGAAAGACAGGGGTGTAGAACCGGGGTTCAGACGGATTGCACCGAGCCACGCTTGCGGCCCGTGATGCAAGTATTGGGTCAGTGCAGACACTTGCCTAGGTAGAAAGGAGAATGAGTGCTGAGTGATTGCTAGATGATGCAAACCGACCGTAAGGGCTTGACGCGTCACGACCAATGTCGTTGAACTAATTATTTCTGAGTCGAGAAGGAAGGTGAAGCGGCGCTCGGGCCTTCTCTTCCCACGTAGGGGGCCTAAGTTCAAACGGCAGACCTTGAGGGGCCGAAACCTCCGCATCTTATCGGCTTGCATTTTGGATGATGATACGCAAATATTACGAGCCTTTACAGGCTCCAAGGTCTACTTAGCTAAGGAGGTTTAATATGAGTTATAGCTGACTTCGAGTTAGCCCAGTCACAATACCTTGTGCAGTCCTCATGTCAACACGTATCCCCAGCGTATTCCTTGGCCTACTGGGTGCATAGCAAATACAAAGATCCAGTAACACGGCCGGAACGCTACCCGCTGACATGAGCGCGTTTACGGCTGCAAGAGAGATTGTCAAGGAGAGATGACTCATCTTTCCCAAGTGAATTTCCGCTGGTCCCACACTCGGATATGTTTAGCTTCCTGCAGTTTAAATCTGGGGCGCTGCAATCGCAGATGGTTCGGCCAAGTGGTTCTCCGTTGCGACCAACCGCCTTTAGCAATACTTCACCGGTAGTCTTTCGACCATTCTACGGAGGCCGACATTGGCTAGCGTAATCAGTATTTCGAGTGCAGGATAACCGATCACTATCTTTAGGTTGGCTGTCCTGAAGGAGCACATAAGTACCTGATTAGAAGGTGGATTAGGTAGGTCACACATAGTCGAGGGCAAAAGACATACATGGTATTGCGAAGAAGGAGGAAAGGAATTGATTGTCGCGAACCGTGAATAGCTGGATCGTGGATGCCTGTGCGTAGCGAATGTAAATATCCAACGCCAGCTTATCCCACCTCCACGAGCTGCGTTTGTGGGACTAAAACAAGACTACAAACCAGCAGTAGTTGCGACAGGGGTCTCGGAGGTGGAAGTTGGGTGGATAAGTCGGGACAGCCGCATTCAACGCATCCGAGATGAGAGTGTGCCATGTTATTTGCGGCGCGTGCTTTTGCTAACTTTTTCTCGCGTGCAAGCAGTTGGAAAAGAGGAACTCCGTCGCGGAGTCGAGCATGAAGCGCGAGATAAGGTCTTGCAAGTCGATGGTGTATTCTGCGCTCAGGCGGTCTTTAACAACGCGAAGGGTAGTTTCTGCATGTATATTGAAGATATCGAAGTGTCTATATGCGGTCATGTGTGAAGAATTGGCGCGTCATGGAGCGGTGAAGCATGGGGCGATGAAAGGTGATCTCGCGGGGCTCGGATCGTATGGAGTCGGAGCGCACTTCCACATAAGGCCTGGCTAGAACTCAGAGGAGTGCCTCGAAGTAGAGAACATTTTTGTAGGGGGCTTACCATCAGAGCTGAACACTCCAGTACCCATGGCCAGTACCGAACGAGATGCGACACTTGCCTTCGCGTGGCTCGGCTCCCCGGGTAACGATGAGGTCTTCCTACAGAAGACGGAGGTTAAAGATCTTCCTGACTGGTTTACCTAGTTCTAGGAAGTATGACCTATGGAAGAATGTTGACTATAAATGCGAAAGGATAGAGAACTGATTTACCCAGGTAATCCTTCTCGATCTCGGCGTTCAGCACCTTCAAGATGTCCGCATTCCCGGCCCATCTTCCTTTTGCGTGAGGAGCCAAACGCGCTGCGAATGCAGCTGCTCTGGGATGCTGGGAGAACCTGTCATATGATACTGCGAGGAAGATGACCAACAGCGTTTGCTGCAGCGAGCAGTAGCAACGTCTGCCAACCCGGGAGGATCATCCCGAGCACGCCGAAGCGATACGCGAGGGGCAAAAGGGCCATGCAGGGCGCGACGAAGGCTACGATGCCATGACCGACGTAACGAATTCCTGGGGTTGGCTTCATGAGTGATTGAAGGCATCAGGAAAAACCTCTGGCCAATAAAAGAGGGAAGTCAGGGAAACATGTTTACAATTTGCGTAAATTCTCAGCGCGTGGGAAATGAGCAAAAAAACGCGACAATGAACTAAAATCCCAAGAAGTTCTGCGAAGTTTCAGTTTGGTTTTGGTTGAGTAAGTTACTTACAGGTGTGTGGAGCAACGTGGATTTCAGACAAGCAGTGCCGGTTAAAGCATTGAACTTAGCCAGAGAAAGCAGCTAGTAGTATAGTAGACTATTGGACATTGAAGTACAAGTACATATCTTGAATGAGTTAACATAGAACGTCGTCCATTCATCCAAGACGTTTTCCGATGTCCAGTGAGAAGGGACAGCACGCAGCACGGCCCCATTTCGTGGGCGTCTACGTGCCGCTTGAGGGCACGAGGCTGCTCGAGGTTGCGGACACGGCTTCGCTCATGGCGCGCGATTCCTGTGCGACGACCGGGCGGCCCGGGCCCCACTTCTTCGAGTTGAACGTGGCGAGCGAGGCCCGCGTCTGTGGCGTCGTAGAGACGGGCGCTAGTGCGAGTGCAGGTGCAGGTGCAGCAGGAGCAGGTGGGGGTGCAGCGGCCGGGAGAGGCGCGTTCGGCGTGCAGTAGATGATGGCACACAACAGCGGGATCGTGTCGATCATCATGCAGACGCCGGTGGGTACGAACGGGATGGTCGCCGTGGCGAACGCGACGGCGGTGGTCGTGGATGGGCAGAGTGTGCAGGGCTGTGCAGGGCTACGCAAGCTGTACATGTCCATACGGCAGCAAAGCTCACCTCGTTATCCCCATTATGTTACCCTCCACTCTACAATGTCTCAAATACACGTCTTACCCGGGTTACTGGCTTTGTCCGGTAGCTGCGGCACCGTCTACTTCACCTGCAGTGCTGCTCTCGGCAGCGCGCAAGGTTTTGTGATTAGTAGGTTAGGCTTGTCAGTTGCTGTCAGTTGCTTGCCTAAACGAACCCCTAATCCTAAACTTCAGTGCTATTAGTCACGGCCCGGTCCTATGCGTAGCCATCACATACATTGGAACCGTCGGGACTCGGAAGCGAGCTGCGCAGCGGCGACTTGGACTCTTGGTTCAACCTTGCAAGTTACCACGACATTCTTCTCTACCACCCATCCCAACCTTTCCGCTCACTCACCGGTGAGTGACACCTCTTGCCCTTCCCCCCAAGTCGTTTATCTATAATCTTCTCTTTTGTCTTCTCTGCAACTGTATACTGACCAAGGGCCTACATCAATCACAGATGCTCAATGTCTGCAACCCCACTCGCGTGCATCTGTAACGCATCTGTGGGTACCCTCGAGGACCTGAACATGCACGCCAATCTAAATGGATTCTATGCTACTTTCGTGGCGGTGCCCGTCATCGACTTTGAGATGATGGTCGAGCACCGATTGTAACACTACAGCGTGTAGCGTGAACGGGGTGCGTTCGTTCTGCTCTTAAGAGATATTTCGATGTTAACATAGGACTGGTTTTTTTAGGAAGCCGTCTTAGCCATAACCAACTCGCACGAGGGCAGTTACTTCGTCAACTACCCCAAGACGTTCAATACGACAGCTTACGTGGAGAACCTCTTCCCGTTGCTACCAAAGTCCCGCATGCAACAGGTCGCGAGCGCTTATGTGAACTACACGCCCGGGCCGGGCAGTGGCCCTGCCATTGGAGAGGTTCTTGGTTAGGCTACTGGGATCACGGACGAATGTACGTTTATGGATTCTTTGAAGAACGATAGATTGACCTTGTTGACTGGTCTGGCAGCCATCTTCTATTGCCCATCATACTATCTTCTCGATGCGTTCCCAAAATTCAAAAAGAGTGCATGTACGGGCACGTTCGCCATTCCGGATGCGTTCCACGGAACTGGCAGTCCGTATTACTACCCAGATTATTCCTACACCGGGTGAGTGACCAAAAACATCTGCCAGGAGCTTTCTTCGCTCACATGAATGTTTGCGCCCTCACATAGCGAAGGTCCTCCGGTGGACAATGAGACGTTTATCGCTTCCTTCTCTTCGTTCTCTAGGGCATTCACCAGATTCGCGCTCGCGATGACGCCGGATCATCGCCCCACTAACTTATCGATCACTCCTGAGTGGAGTACGTGGCCCAAAGGTTAAACGCCGGTCGCGTTTAGTACAACAGAGACGGGCGATGTGAATATTTATGTGTCTACCACCAAGGCATAAATTTATCCTGGTATTGTCGAACGGTGCAAGTGAGTAGCTTTCTTAGGGATCAGATATTGGTAGGGATCGATTGAGAACTGATTTCTCTCATAGCGTCTGGCAAGGGCTTGGACAGTACACGGGCCAGTGATCGCGGAGGATGTGCAGAGGCAGAGACAACCTTTGGATAAGGAAGTGGTTAAGTGTTTTGAATTTACTTACCCTGTATCCAATTGTGCTGCGTGTAATATCGGAATGGTGTTAGTGGTGTCTTCAGCCTGTTACAACAACACGAAGTTACGTTTGATTAATTCGAACTGGTCAGAGGCCAATGTGGAGAAAGCTGGGCTATGAGAACGAAAAAATTATCAAAATTCCAAAAGATTTCAGCAAAATTATCACGACGACCAAAGGGGGGCTGCAGTGTTTTGTAAAGTTTTCTGCTCACCCAAATTATGAAAATTTTACCAAAAATTGGTGGATTTTGGACGAATATAGGAAAGATGAGACACTTTCGGGCAATTACTACACATAGGTTTTTCCTGATGTCAATGCGGGACATACAGTTGAGGATATGACCATGAGGCTTCAACATCAACGCGTTATTGAGCTGAGTTACGGCAAAGTTGGCAAAGTGTCATATCATCCGGGCCCGGATACATAGTTTAGGGCCGGTTTGACCAACGTACACAGTAACATAGCGTGTTCGCGCGTGTTCAAATGTTCACTACTCATCGATACTCATCGACATCCCTGCTATACGAGGTCATTCATCCCCGTCACCGTCGTCTCTGGGGCTGACCGTCTCAACGCGAGGTACTTTAAACGCTCGTATCAGACATGCATCCCGTCAAGGATGGGCTGACGCATGTCTGTGACACCATTACTCGCTCAGTTAACGTTCAAGACTTATCTCAGTCCATTGCTTCTCATTCCTGCCTGGCTTCCACAGTCATGCGCCTTCCTGACGACATCTTGTTCGAAATATTCAATCATCTTGTCAACCTTCATGGCTCTTCTGAGTCTTGCGATTATACACCATGCGTCAACGTCGCCCAAGTCTGCCAACAGTGGCGGCGAGTCGCTCTCGGCACCTCCCGTTGGTGGACTTGGCTGATGGTCAAGGTCGAACGGGAAGCCATCACCACAATCCCTTTACCGCACCACCTCCTTCACCGCGCCGGTTCCCTTCCCATTTTTCTCTCTTATGACATCTCAACTAGGGAATCCCGTCAGATCCAACCTCCACCAGGCAACGCCGTTGCACTACATGAAATCAAGGGTATCGACATCACCTGTACCGACTCAGCGATCTATTACTCCCAGATTTCATCATGGCTTTCGGGTTTCCCCAACCTTCGCAGGCTTACGCTCAAGAACTTCAGTGCTGGACAGGCAAACACGTGGCCTGCATACCCTGCATATCCTCCTTCCTATCTCCACCAGCTAACACATCTTCACATCGACTCTGACTCTGACAAAGCGACTTGGTTCTTGTATCAGGTGAATCGCTGGGAAAACCTAGTGTCCCTCACCTTGAGGTGCGGCGACACCTTGGACGCCATTACTCTCCTATGTGACTTTCCAAACCTCATCGAGCTCTTCCTGAGCAGCTGGGGCGGGTGGAACCAAGACCACGACGACGAAGCTCTAGAAGATCCACTGACCCATAGCAAGCTACGTACCCTCAGCATCTGCTCAGATGATGTGTTCTCCCACGAAGGTTTTTTCCTTTACATCACCCTTCCCAATCTTACGTATCTCGCCATCGGCACCTGTTTCTTCGGCGGCGATTCAGGTCTATATTTTCTCGGAGGCTTCTTGGAGAGATCTAAGTGTAGCGCTTTGAATATAACCCTCTTTAGGAGCGAAGGGTTTCCCCCGGGCATGAAGGAGACGGCAGAACAGATGGGCGAAGAGTGGCATCTATCACGCATTAAACTCGTTCACAAGGACGTAGACGATCTTCAGATCTATATCAACAGTAAAGCTAGGTGGTACAGCTAACACAGCTTTTGTGTGTTCTCCTTTGTACATGACGGAGGCGTAGTAACGCTAGACTTATGACATCAGTGGTAGAATACTAGTACACGTCATAATAGATAACAGCATAACACACTTTACGCCTGCTCCGATTCTATCATACGCACCCACATTCCACCCTGCGCGATCCGCCATTCAGTAAGCACAATCTGCGTTTGTGGAGACAGATGGGGTCATACCTTCGCATACAAAGTCAAATGCGACCGAGGATGGAACTTCTCAATCGGCGCACGCCCAGGGATATCCTTCCAATGGGCCGGCGGGCGAGCGTCTGGGCTAAGCGCATCCAGCGCGAGCTCAAAGCGAGAGAAGTTCTGCATGAGGCGGACGAGCATGAACGACATCTCATTGTAGGCGAACTAGAGTGCGTGACAGGAACATCGGTTGGGAATCAATGTGGTAACAAGATGTGTAGTGTTAGGAACGTACCTGCTGGCCCAAGCAGATGCGGGGTCCGGCGTTGAAGGGGAGGAAGATGAATGGATTCGGGACGAGGTATTTCTGCAAGCGTTGGTCGAGGAAGCGGTCCGGATCGAACTCATCCGCTAGTATGAACGCCACGTGTGAATATACGATACAGTTCAGTTCGCTGACTGCGCATACCATCCGGACCCCACAGGTCATGACGTCGGTGCATCAGCGCAACGCTGTAGGTGATCCTTCAAGCGTTGTTGTGTCAAGGGAGATGTCGAGAGCAAACGAAGAGATAGAAACGTACATCGTGTTCTTGGGGATGAACAGCGGCATCCTCTCCGGATCGGGGGAAGGGAGGGTTGTGTCCTCAGTTGTTTGACTTTGTCATGCTCGTCAACACCGAACTGTAAGCAGCGAGATCAGAAAGACATACCGAAGGTTCATCGGGCTAGAGGTATCGAATGAGCATAGTCAATCGTAAGAGGCTGGAAATCCCACGTACACGGGAGGGAAGAGCCTAAGCGTTTCTAATGGGACGTACGTCAGTGTGATTGCCTCGAATTCGGGCCGCGGGAGCTAACCATTGAGGACCGCCCTTAGATACTTCATGTTGCGGAGATCATCGTAGGTCGGGCGGCGCGAGGAACCGACCTTGCTCATCACTTCCTCTCGAAGACGGTCCATTGCGCTGGGATACATCGCCAGCAGGTAAACTGCTGAGGTGAGAGCTGAAGCGGTCTAGCCAAAGATGAGAATTAGGTGTTACGTAGAAACAGAGAACACTCACGGTGTCACGGCCGGCGATCATGATGTTCAGCACCTCATCTCGGAGGATAACGCGGTCTACATGGAGATCAGCGCCTACTATGGTGATAGCTGAAAGAAGAACGTACCTGTAGTGAGCCTAACCAGATGATCCAGCAACGTCTCCCCCTCGTGCACCTCCGCCTTCTCCGTCCCCGAACTCTTCTCCTCGCCAGCATCAAGGCCATCTACGCGCTGCTTCTCAATCGCCTCGGCGATAATAGGCTCCAAGAACTCGTGAACGACCTTCATATCGTCTTCAGTACGGTCCTTGAATATCTCCCACAACGGCCAAATGCCGAGCAAGTTCGTCCGGCGTCCGACGCTGGTCTGTGCGCTCGCGAACGCGGTCGAAAGGATGTCCGCGGCGTTCGGCTTGCCGTTGGCGCTGAGACCTCCGGGACTATGGGTGTGGACTGCGTTGTATGGGTAGGGAAGTGGAGAGTGCAGGGTGTGCGCGCAGCTTCCAAAGAGGAACTCGGTTGCGGAGTCGAGGGTGAAGCGTGAGATGAGGTCTTGGAAGTCAATCGCATGGCCAGCTCGGAAACGGTCTTTGGCGGCAGTGATGGCGGTTTCGGCGTGAGTGTCGAAGGTGTCGAAATGACTGATGCGGTCATGCGTGAAGAAGGGACGCGTCATTGATCGATGAAACCTGTGAAAATGGATATGTTAAGGGATAATGCTTTCGTACTGGTAAACAGTATGTACTTCCACATATCGCCTGTGCTGATGATGAGCTTACTAGATGACCGAACAGAGACAGGAATGACTCACCGTCAGAGTTAAAGACGCCAGTTCCGAGGACGGAACGGAAGATATCGTTGAACTCTTCACCTAAACAAGGACGCAAAACTTCGTTAGCTCAGAGAAGAGACACATCGGGTGTACATACCCTTAACAAAACTTCCAAAGTTACTAGCTAGGATGGCCTATGTAACCAGAAGAAACCAATCAGAAGTGAACACATCCGAGGAATGCGACAGAGCTCGCCTTAATGTGACTCGGCTCGGTGGTGAAAATGAAGTCGTCCCATAGATAACGAACGTTGTAGACCTTGCCGTATTTCTGTTCGAGTTTCAAGAAGTACGAGCCTTATTGGCAAGATCAACATGGATGTTCAAGACGGATGTGGGGGACGAAGGAAAGTCGCTATGCACCCATATAATCCCTATCGACCTCTTCGGCTTGCTCTATCACGACGTCCATGTTGCCTGGCCATCTTCCTTTCACGCGAGGCACCAGACGCGCCCCGAGTGCAGCTGCTCTGCGGCGTTGGGAAAGGGTGTCGTAGGCAACGCCGAGTAAGAACGCGGATGGCGGAGTGGCAGCGGCAAGCAGGAGTGTCTGCCAGACGGGGAGAATGCTGAGCACACCAAAGTAGTATGCAGCAATGGCTAAGGCTATACAAGGCGCAAGAGTGTTGAGAACCCAGTTGCTCAAGAGTCGAAAGCCTGGTGTGAGCTTCATGGGTCCTGTAGGCTCGAGTGAGAAATGGGGGATAGCAAGGACAAGACAGAAGTAAGCTCACTTATATGAAGCGCTGCGGGGCAATATGCTTCTGTTTCTCGGCAGATCCGGAGACGAGTTGGTTTCCGGTACTACTGGGAACGCGTCACAATCAACAGACAGCTTGTCAGTGTCGGGGATAACTAAATATCTGCATAGGTCACCGTACCTCCACTTCAGAAGAAAACACAGCAATGGAGTTTGACCGATTGCAGCAAGATGTCCGTGACAGGTGACAATAAAACGTGGACGCTGCGGATTGAAACATTGAGGCACGGCGCACAGGACTTTAAAACTTCACTAGTCACTGTCGAGATCATTTAAATATTTACTTACTGTGGGGTTGTCTCATTGTCAATGGCACTCAGAGAACGGGCGACATCTAGAAGATTCAACTGCGCGTCTCTTACGCTAGATCACAATGTGTCGGAATACTGTAGCAAATCGACCATAAGTTCCCGGTGGCGTGAGAGACCTGAGTTTAAACCCGCCTTCCTAAACGGTATGTCCCGCAATTTAGTTCCCGATGGTCGGTAATGGTGGGACAAGGTTCCCGGGCCGGGACAAATCCGGGCCGTGTCCCATGTTCCTGGCTATTCAGTAAGATACGCACGATTCCGCGAGGGCGGCTCGAAAGCTAAACACCTTTAATTTCGGCAACCTCGGCGACGCATCATGTCGTTCACTGCTCCCAACTGCTCCCTATCGCTTTCCTATCTCCATGCAAAGGTATGTTTCCCTCGGACTATGTATGTTGCATCCTTTCGTTTGTTACTGATTTTCTATTTCTTTACAGCGGCGGTCGGCCTTGCAGCAATCTCGCTGCAAGCCTCACGTCCCCCTCACCTCTCTTCGATCTGCGGGTGCGGGCTGGAGGTGTTGTCGGCCAAGTGCTGGCCAAGTGCTGACCGGTGACCTTCAGAAACTGTATAAAAGTGTGAGTCTTTTTGCCCTCTCTCGACAGGAAT